AAAAAAACCGAAACGCCTCGCCATGCTGATTGATACTTTCGCTCACTTGTTGCTTGTTGTACCCCGTGTATCCGATTACTCGCTCGCTCGCGCGCTTTCCCCGTGTTTTTATAATGGAAGCGAACCAATTCCCCAAATCCTCCAAACAAATCATTAACACAACGTAAGAACCTCGAATCCGAAGGGAATTATTCAGGCTCGAACCAACGACTCCCTAGAAAGAGACATCATGTGCAATCAACTTTGCTTGACTCGATGTAAACTTCCGCCGATGATTCTGATACGGATACCGCTGCCGATACCGATACCGACGCCGATTTACCTCCCGCCCCTGAGATAATCCCCCCTAGTAGTAGACGTCGTCCCATTACTCCTCGGCTGACTCTTCGGCGACGGTTCATCAGAGTAAGCGTCCACCGGTTTGGGTCTCGTCGGCGCCCAATTCGTCATGTTGGCCCCAGTAGTCCCAGTCCCAGTCGTCGTCGTCGTCGCCGTAGTAGTCGACCCATTCGTCGCCGCCGTTCCACCACCAACGGTAGTACTACTCGCCGTTTTCGGGGTAGTCGTCCCGTTGACCAGCAGCGCTCCATCGCCCTTGCCATCCTTCTGACCCTTCCACTCTCTCCCCTCTTTCTTATCCTTTTTTTCTTCCTTTTTGTCATCCTTCTTCTTTTCCGTACTAGAATCACCCTTCAAACTCCCATCCGTAACACTCGGCACGGTCTCCGTCTCCCCTTGCTCCTCATAAATGGTCGCAAACTTCTTGAGCACCTGCTTCAGCGCCGGCCTTCGAATCGGTTTACTCAAAAACTCGTCCATGCCGCTCTCCATGCACTCCCTCACATTCGACTCCTCGCTGAACGCCGTCAACGCGACAATAGGCGCACTATATCCCATTTTCCTGATCAGCCTCGTCGACTGCAACCCGTCCAGGTTCGGCATCTGGATGTCCATGAAAATCACGTCGAACTGCAGGTTGTGCTCCATGTTGGCTTTGACGAGGTCGTAGGCTTCTTGCCCGTCTTTGGCGATGGTCACGTCGTAGACGTCTTCTAACTTCAAAAGGCGGGAGACGACCTCCACGTTGGTGCTGTTGTCGTCGGCTACGAGGACGCGGAGCTTTCCCGGGCCGGAGGAGGTGGAGGAACTGGATTGGAGTTGTTTGGCAGCCATGGCGCGGTCGAGGGCGGCCATTTTGTCGTCGACGTCACCTGAGGCGGTAGTCGTGGTTGGTGGTTGTTTGGGCGTCGTGGCAAAGAAGGGTTGCGAGAGGCCGACGAGACGGGGTTGGGTGTCGAGAACGGAGGCGGCGGCTGGTGGGGCGGCTGAGTGTTGGTTGTGCCCGTGGGAATGGCTGTGGGAGTGGCCGTGGCCGTGACCGTGGTGCATGTCAACGGTGGATTGTTTGGGGAGAGGGTTGCGAATGGTTTCGCCGTCGAGGGAGCCGACGGACGGTGGGCGGGAGGCTAAGGAGCTGGAGGCGGTTGATGAGGCGCTGGGTTCGTTAGCATGCTACGTGTCACGTCTAGAGGTAAAGGAGACTTACCGATCCCGAACATATTTCAACGGTATCCTCATCGTAAACGTCGTTCCAACGCCAATAGTACTCTTAAGCCCAATCGTCCCTCCCATAATGGTGGCCAACTGAGAGCAGATACTTAGGCCCAGACCAGTACCGCCAAACTTCTTGCTCAGACCGAGATCACCCTGAACGAAGGGCTCGAAGATCTTCTGTTGCATATGCTCCGCAATACCCGGGCCAGTATCCTCAACCTCAAACTCGAACATGAATGACTTGGCATTCGGCGGTGGTGGTGTCGGTGACCTTTCCCTGATCTGGACATGGGGCGTCGACTTGGGGTCCATGGGGTTGATTGAAAGAGCCGTGCCACTGCCCTGGTTCTGATTAGGCGAGTGTGGCGCCCCCGTTGAAGATTGCGAGTTCCTGGATCCCGAACCTACCCTATGGCGAGACCGACCTGGACGGTGCGAGTTCTTGGAGAACGACGATGTCCTACTCTCGTCTTGCGGTTGCTCAATCTCACCGACGCAGCGTATTCTCAACTCAACCCTGCCTCCCGCCGGCGTGAACTTGAGGCTGTTGCTGACCAGGTTGATGATGACTTGGAGAATACGATGCTGGTCACCCCAGAGACACATGTCCTTGAGACGGCCGACACCAGGGGGTCCAAGTGCGGGAAGTCTCTTCTCAATGCTGGTGCGTCGCTCGGGGCTGCTCTCGAGAATGTCGGTGCCGACAAAGCTGACGGTGAAGGTGATCTTGTTTTCGCGGACCTGCTTGTCAAAGATAGCCAGCATTTGGGATCTTATCTCACCAAGTCTGAACTCTCTTTGTTCCAGGCTGACTTGCTGGCCGATTTGGTTCTTGGAGAAACTGAGAAGATCCTCGAGCAAGTGCAGCAGAAGATCGCCTGTTATGGTTAGTCTAAGAAGGCCAAGCAAGTAGGGGGTAGATACTAACCTGACTTGTAAATGGTCTTGAGCGACTGCTTGATGCGAAGAACATCGTCTTCTTCCATCAAGACAGCGCACATGCCCATGATGCCGTTTAGAGGGGTCTTGAGCTCGTGGGAGATGTTGGCAATAAACAGCGTCTTGCTCTCGTTAGCAGCTTCAGCGGCCTTCTTGCTGAGTTCGAGTTCTCTTGTTCGTTCGGCCACCTTCTCGTCCAACGAAGTGTACTGCTTCAACAACTCATCCGTCATCTCGTTGAAAGTTTGCGTGAGCTCGGTCAGCTCGTCCGTGATGTAATGCTTATGATCCTCGACCTTGGCGGGAATCTTGAAAGCATGGCGATGCGGATCCTGTGCAGCGGCAGCTCTCATTCTCGCCCTCTTCGACTTGCGCATCCTCCGTTTCAACGTCTTGAGCCAACTCTTCTCGGACCTTCCCGATGTGGTGCCGCCCGAGCTAGGGTTCTCCTCATCAAAGTCGGAATCAAACAAGTCTTCGTAGCCCGGTGGTGCAATCGATTTCTCGGTGGCCTCCTTCAACCGGCGAATCGGCATGACGCTCAGGTGAGCACAGGGGATGGTGAGCAGTAGGACAAGCCCCGCGGTACCAAACACGCAACCCAGGAGTATGTTCCTCAACGTACGGATCGGTTCCGTCGCCTCTCGCTTGTCCTGTTCCACAACCACTGCCCAGGAAATCAGGGAGGTCTGTGGCCGAGCAGCACCAATCGCCACCTTCTTGCCCTGCTCGTTCCTGGTCGAGATCTTGCTCATGGCGTAGTTGGTCTCGGTGCTTCTATCGACAAAAAGATCCAGCACCGCCTCGTACGTGGTCAGATCAAAGGGAGCATCATAAGCACCCGACTCGAAGCTGTGTTCGCTGTGGCGGTCTTCTTGGCCCGGGTTGGGAGCGGGTGGGAACAGGAAGTGGACCTGGTTCGTCCTCGCGAACTCATCACGGGGTGGGACGTAGGACTGGTTGCTCGCAGGCATGTTGGCGTTGAAGTGGTTCCAGGGATTGACGGGGCCGATGAAGAGGGCAATGCCAGTCTCGCCCAGACCTTCACTAGACTGCTGGACTTGAACGAGCTGCCTCGCGCTGGCGACCACAGTCATGTAACCAAGAATGAATTTGCTAGATTGATTCTCTCGAACAGGGACCGTGATGGAGACAAGGGCGTACGACTCGTTGACTACAAGCGGTCCCAGGAGAATTCCGTTCCCTTCGCTGCCGTTGCCCAACGAGACGCCAGAAATATGGTGGCAGAGAACTGGCTGGTGTTGTCTCTGTAAGGGCTCGGCTTCTTCTTGTTCTCGTATGTGATATTCGGATAGAGCATAGGGGGGAAGCCATATTCGGAATCGCCAAGTTTGATGGCCTCACCGGTTGGGGATTTGTAAGGTAGATAGACTGGGTGGGATACGGCAGCTTGGCCGGTAATGTTGAGAAGGCCACTTGCGTCGCCCGTCGTGTTGCGACTGTATAATCTTGCTTGCAATAGACCCGACACATTGCTGGTGGAAAGCGCGCTGGCCAGATCCTCGCGAGCCTGATTCCAGACGTCTGCCGTCTGGTTTTTGAAAAAGTCATTGGTGTAGAAGTTCTCAAAGGCCTTCTGGAGCAGCAGTCGTGTAGAGATGGTGATGCATGCTGTCTGGATTAGATCGATCTCGGAAGAGATGCGAGAGGCCTTGAGAGAGGCGGACAAGGCCAGGCCATCCGTCTTGACGCCAATGACAAAGTTGTTAACAAAGATCCATACGGGGATTGAGACGATGGCGAGGGAGAGGAGGACGGCAAAGACGACGAGAGCCGCGAGCTGCTCTCTAATTGCGATCCTCATTTTCGAAGTCGCGTGCGGGGGGGAGACGAGGATGAGGGACTACCGAGGGGGGATCGGACGGGGCCGAGGCGATGCATGCATTATTCTCGATCCAGTCTGGGGGGAAAGGGTCTGGATGCGCTGCGTGCTGGTTGTGTTGTGATATGTGTGGAAGTCCTTGGACAGATAGTTGTTGTTGTTGTTGTTGTTGTTGTTGTTGTTGTTGTTGTTGTTGTTGTTGTTGTTGTTGTTGTTGTTGTTGTTGTTGTTGTTGTTGTTGTTGTTGTTGTTGTTGTTGTTGTTGTTGGCCTGCTGCGGGTCTTCAGCGGGAGCGGGTGCGGGTGGAAAAGGATTGACGGGGCCGGCTTGCTCATTTCCCTGCTGGTTCTCGTACACAGCTCGGTTGGGAGCCTCGGTGTTGAAATACCGTATGTCGCGGTGAGTATGGGGATCTCGGCCGGAGGGATCGTCGATGAAATACTGGTAGTAGAGTTGGTGGCAAAAGATGCGAGCCGAGGACGGCGCCATGTGGTCCGTCCAGAGAAGAATGGTGCTCTGGAGGTTTGCGTTGACAAGGTCGTGGAGGGATTTCGACACGCTGTAGAGATTGATGATGTCAATGGGGCGCAGATGCTTGCAGACCTCAAGAAGAAGCTCAAAGTCGGTCATCAAGGAGCCGAAGAGGTCAAAGGTGCTCGCGCTAGGCGTCGTCGCTACCTCCGGTGAAGGCTCCTCCTCCTCATTGAGAGCTTTCCATCCTTGGGCAGACTCATTGATGGCCAGGGCACGCTGATGCCAGTGGCGATAAAGAAGAGCGACCTGTCGGTGGTCTAGTCCGTTCAAGCCACCTTCGTTAGCGAACCCTTCCCAGAGGGTATTGACCACGTCATCCTGCTCGATGTTGCTTGGGTAGACGTGAAGGCCGAGATTGAGGGTATTGACGTTACTGCTGCCAGAAGCAGGGTCGCGAGGAGCTACGGCGCGATCAGAGAATATCTTGTGGGCAGTAGAATCGGCTCTGGCTCTCTTGTTGATTCTCGACCTTGGCCTGAGGATCTCTCGCTCGATCATATTGACGTCAGGCACCACGCCTTCTTGCTCGATTTCCTCGATAATGGCATTTTCGCGAGCGGCTTGAGCCGCCTCGTAGCTTTGCTGTGTACCACTTCCGGGATTGTTGAAGTTGAGTGATGCAAGTCCGGGCAAAGGGTTTGAGACAGCTCTCACGTTGCGCTGCCCTTGCCCGCCGGGCACTTGGAGGTTCGACATGTTTCCCCTGATGATCTGTGTGCTGTGTAGTCAATTGCTTGCCCTTTCTTGGTTACTCGAATCATTCGAGTTGAAAAGTGTTGAAAAGTGACGATCGGTAAGTGTTGGAGAAAAATATTGCAAGATGGATTAGAAGTGATGTGGGAGGTGTTTTTGTTAACGGCCACTGTTTTTGTGCCGGGTGGTGAATAGGGACCGCTGCTGTTCTAGGCTCAGTGAATAGACCTGGCAATGAGAACAATAGGAAGGGACTGGAAGGGGAAATAAACTTCAGATGAAATCAAATTCAAAACGAGAACAATAGCAAGCGGGTTATGGGCCTTCCATCTCAACTTGGTAGAATCTGCTCGAATGGTCATGCGTGACCTTTCAACAATCGAAAGCTGCATACCTCCAACATTCTTGTAACAAAGTGACGACACGGGGAATAAGATCCCATGGGCTCACGGCCTAGAGTAGACGTAGTCTTCATTAAAAAATCAGGACGGGGGGTGCTGTCACGCTGCAGTCAACAGGTCTGTGAAATGATGGATTCAGTAGATAACATGCCTTCTCTCAAGTTTGCTCGGCCTATCTCTTCGCATACAACTCGTGGCTTGGCGTGGTCGAGACTCTCGGAGCTCCCTCTGCCACGTTATATCTTGGACCAAGCCCAAAGCTGCCTGCCATCATTATGCTGTGGTAAGCCTATCCTTCATATCCAGCTCAAAATGCACTGTTGTTGTTACCCGCTACGCCTAGAGAACCGTCCATTTTCCCGCCACCGCCGTCATACAGCCATTGTTGCCGTCATGCAGCAGCTCTATTGCTGCTTTTCCTTCTGCTGTGTTTCCGCGCCAAATGTTGTGCGTGAGCGCGTCTTCCGGTGCCGTTCTGCGCCTGTCATTTGCGCTGCTCTCCTTGCCTCCTCCACCGTTCGCAAGTAGGACTCGTAGACCGACATGCCTTTACTCTTGCCCCGTCCCTTTCGCTCAGAAGCGCTGGTGTCTTCCGAGTCATCGTCCCCATCCCCGTTGTCTCTGCCGCTTGTTCCATCTTGTAACCTCGAGCCCTCCTTGGGTGCTTCTTTACCTTTACCCTTTTCCGTCCTGGATCCAATGGTAGCGGCTTGCTCCGCGGACTTGTCATGCGCCTGTTGCTGTTCCTCTTGTTGCTGTTGTATCTCTAGAGTCTCGATCGAGGGCAACAGGACTTGGAAGGCCGAAGTTTCCTCATCCTAGTGACTAGACTGCTTTGGTTTCGGGTCGTCGAGCTCGGGAGTAGACATGTCCGCAGGCTCCTTGGAAACAATGCTGTTGGCCACCTTCCAGATCTGGAGGAGGTTATCCTCGGCAGCACTGCACACCAGCCAGGGGTCGTTGCGGTTCCAGCTGAAATCGGCTAGGTGGTTGGTGTGGCCGCCGTGCATGAAGAGCAGCTCCGGGGGACCATCGTCAGCGTCGTCTTGGGTTTGCTCATCTCCGACACGGCTGATGTCCCAGAACAACAACCTCCTATCGTAGCTGCCACTGCCCAGAACGGCCGACTCGGTCGGGTGCCACTCAAGAGAGGTAACCGCATCCTGGTGGCCCTCCAAGGTGTGGACCTTGGACTTCATGTTCCTCATGTCCCAAATACCAATTGTCTTATCGGCGGAAGCAGTCGCAATGATCGTCTCTACACGGGGATTGAATGCCAAAGCATTGATGGCGTCACTGTGACCGTTACGGGCGACAATGGCTCCCTTGTCGGTCTCTGGGCGGCGGACGTCGAGAATCTGGAGAGTGAGATCGTCCGAGACGGTACCGATCCATGACTTGACCATGGGGTGATGCTGAACGTCGTTGACGATGTGGCTATGGTGCGTGTACTTGCGAGAGTACTTGAGCTGCTTGCTGGTACCTTCGTAGGTCTTGAGGTCCCACAGGAGAACGGTCTTATCTTCGCTGCCGGTGGCCAGGCATCCTTCGTCGTGCGGGTTCCAGTTCAAGCCGAAGCCTTCCTCCTTGTGGCCGATCAGCTCAAGTTGAGGGCTAGGCGTGCCGGAGGGCGTGATGCTGTGCTTTGTGCGGTCGAAGATCAGGACACGACCGTCAACAGCAAGGGTGGCGATGATATCGGGGTTCTGGGGCTGGTAGCGGGCCTTGTTGACCTCGCCAGGGTGGTCGATCTTCTGGGTGATCTTGAATCGAATGCACAAGGGCTCTCCGGAAGAGGCCTTGCTGCCATAGCCACCAATCTCGCCGCGCTCCTCGTCGTAGTCGCGGGGATTCAGCTCGACCATCTTGGGAATCTCGACTTCGGCGATTTGGAGGTAGTTGGGCTTGCCCTCAGCGGTATGGGTTCCGAGAAGCAGTCTGTGGACGGTATGGCTCTTGTCTTTGGGGCTCTTCACATCGGGGAACCATTGTGTCGTGAGGGTAGGCCACTCCAAGGCGGTGCTGAGCATCATGTCGTAGAGAAACGGGCTGTTCTTCTTCCAGATTTTGTACTCTTCGTTGATCAGGCGCTGCTCGGCCTCGGCATCGTCCTCCTCCATGTTGACTGCGTTCTGATGTCAGCACTTTTGCACAGCTTGTCGGAATTCGAGCTTCATAAGCTTACCGTCAACATCGTCGACGACCTCGTCGCGCGCCATTTTGATTTCGTGGATGTAGTGAAGTCGTTAAGGTGATTTGGGTGGTCGGGAGTATTCGAGGTTCTAGAGGTGGCCAAGTGACGCTACTCGCGGTGCGCAGATGTTATGGGGGTTTTGCTTGGTGCTAAACGAGCCACCGCGGATGAGGTGAAGGCTACAAGGATGGAAATAAGCCCTCCTGAGGAATGCGCGAGAGTAGATGGATATGCCCGTCGAATCGGTCGTATAATGTCACGGAATGGTGTGGGGAGATATTCCTTTCAGCAAATATTTCCAGGGGGTCAAAGATGACAAAAGTAAGGAAAGTACGGCAATGGAACGGGAATCAAAGGCACAAGTTAAAGTTGACTATTGCCAAACCTATGCGACGGATGGCGTTTGCAGCGGTGGTTGAAGCGCTAACCACCTCTAAACGCGACGCGACTTCCAATTAATTGATTTCTGCCATCTTGTTCCGCCTTCTCAGGCACCACAGGCACTTTGACCTTGAGTTCCGTTGGAGAGACGACGGCTGCTGCTGCAGGGCGGATGGGACAGGGTTCATCAAGGTACTCCACAGAGCCTCAAGCCAACGCGGGCGGCGGTGGGGAAGGCGTTCCCTTTGATGTCACTCCTGAGCCGAGCGGCAGCAGTGACGGACTGCGGATGGTCCGTGCTACATTGCCCGCCCGAACAGCTTCACCTGCAGTCCGTCCCGGTCGCGGGGCTCGACACCTTGCTCCCTTGGCGGCCTGATGAGGTGGCGGGCACTCACGCTGGGGAGAGTCAGCCCGTGGGGCAATGGAGGCCAACTGGAAAAGGTAGTGTGTCACAGCCTGAACAGCCAGACCGGAGCCCATGACACCTCCCCGCGCCGCCTCTAGGTATCCGCCCGACAGACCTTCCACTTCCACTTCCACTTTCCATGTTGAATGTTGTTTTGTGGGTTCATCTCTCGTAGACATCACCACTTCTTCTACTATCTCTACCTTACACATAGGCCGCCACGCTTTAGGCCCCTCCTCGGATTTCCCATCCTTTCGCTTTTGTTAGCAGTATAGTAGCTTCTTTTCCCGCCTGCCGCTGTCCGTCGCTTCCAAAGACACACCTCTTCCTCCCTTCCACAGACGGCATTTTCAGTCCTGTAGCTTTCCATACTGTCCTTCAAAAGGAAATCTGGAAGCTTAGTTGGATCTTGCTACTTCGTCCTCATTCGGTTCATTACGCTATTGCGATCCCAAGAGGTTTCGCTACCTATAAGCCCGGCCATTATTATTCAGCGCCGGCATCTGAACGACCAGCTTGTCGCCTCTCCTTCGCCCCTTGAAAACAGCATCTAGGTAGACTTAGCAACGTCTTTTGCGATCGCTCAGCGCACCCCAACTCTCGACATCCTTCGCGAACTTCTACTTGTGCACACATCTAGTCCGGCGCCAAACGCCAGTCAGCCAACATGGGGTGTGTTACTCTCAAAGCCCCCCCCTAGCCGTGTATGCACGGGTCTTGGACATATGGCTAACACCTTCTCTCATCCAGTGTTCCCAAGTTCTTCAGATGGCTCTCGGAGCGGTATCCCGCCATTTCTCAGCTCATCGCCGAGAACCGTATCCCCGAGTTCGATTGCCTTTATGTTCGCTACTCCCTTCCGAGCCCTGAGGGCTGTCTTGTTTTACTTCGCTAGCTAACCGGTTTATCCAGTTGGACATGAACGGTATTATCCACAATTGTACCCATAAGGATACGAGCGATGTACAGTTTCGGATGACAGAGGAGGAGATGTTCATTGCTATATTCAACTACATTGAACATCTCTTCGGGAAAATCAAGCCCAAAAAGCTCTTCTTCATGGCTATTGACGGTGTTGCTCCTCGCGCCAAGATGAACCAGCAGCGTGCTCGTCGTTTCCGTACCGCCTTGGACAACGAGAAGGCCAGAGATAAGGCGATTCGTGAGGGCAAGGAACTGCCCAAAGAAGAGCCTTTCGACAGCAACTGCATTACACCTGGTATGTGTAACATTAGTTCCCGCTCAGTGTTTCTCAGAGGCTAACTGGCTGTATAGGAACCGAATTTATGGCCAAGCTGTCGCAGCAGCTGAGGTATTTCATCAACAAGAAGGTGTCGGAAGACAAGGACTGGCAGCAACCCGAGATTGTCCTGTCTGGGCACGAGGTCCCTGGTGAGGGTGAGCACAAGATCATGGAATACATCCGCAATGCGCGTGCCCAACCCGACTATAGCGCGAACGTCCGTCACTGTTTGTATGGTCTCGATGCCGATTTGATCATGTTGGGCCTCCTCAGCCATGATCCTCACTTCTGCCTTTTGCGCGAGGAAGTTACCTTTGGCCGCGGCCCAGCCAAGCACAAGACAAAGGGACTGGAGGAGCAAAATTTCTATCTGATGCATCTTTGCATAGTCCGCGAGTACCTGGAGCTGGAGTTCCAGGATCTCAAGAAACCCGGAGCCATGTCTTTCCCATTCGACATGGAGAAGGTCATTGACGATTTCATTCTTATGGCCTTCTTCGTCGGAAACGATTTCCTTCCCAACCTCCCGCGCCTTCACATCAACGAAGGCGCTCTTTCGCTCATGTTCAGGATATACAAAGAAATCCTTCCACGCGGTGACGGGTATATCAACGAGGGTGGTAAGGTCAACCTCCAGAGACTCGGTCTTCTCCTGGAAGAACTCGGCAAGGAGGAGTATCGCTTTTTCGAACATGAACATGAGGATCAAGGCTGGCTTCGCGCCAAGAAGATGCTCGAAAATGACGAGGAAGAGACAGCAAAGGCCAAGATCAAGGGCAAGCTCATCGTCACCACGAACCAGAAGAACCTCTGGAAGCAGAAGATTCGGAAATTTCTCACCAACAGGAGCACTAACACCCTTGATCTCGGTACCGAATTGAAGGCCGAGGACCGCAAGTTTGCACAGGACCTGGCTGATACTGCCCATATTCCTTGGGCAACGAAGGAAGATGATGAGGGACACCGTCATCTTATCTTGCAATTCCCCGAACGAGACGACGAGTCGGAGGAGGACGAGGAAGCCCAGTCAGCCGTTCTCCGCATCATCAAGAAGTACGACAACGCTCAAGTCGTGGATCTAACTGCCGCCGACTCGAAGGCTGCCATGGAGGCTAAGTACCAGCAAAAGTTCCAGGAGTGGAAGGACAAGTACTATGCTGAGAAGTTCGAGGAATGGACCCCGGAAAACAAGGAAGAGGAACTCCGCCACCTGACGGAGAATTACGTCCAGGGTCTTCAGTGGGTGCTCTACTACTACTACCGTGGTATTGCTTCTTGGCCCTGGTTCTATCGCTATCACTATGCCCCCATGATTTCCGATGTCGTGAAAGGCCTGAAGGCCGACCTCAACTTCAAGATGGGCCAGCCTTTCAAGCCATATGAGCAGCTGATGGGTGTCTTGCCAGACCGCAGCAAAAAGATTGTGCCGACGGTGTACTGGGATCTCATGACGAACCCCGATTCTCCGATTATCGACTTTTACCCAAGAGACTTTGAGCTCGACATGAATGGCAAGAAGATGGACTGGGAAGCCGTTGTCAAGATTCCCTTCATTGATGAGAAGCGCCTGCTCGCAGCAATGGGCCCTAAGAACGAACTCCTCTCGGACGTTGAGAAATCAAGGAACGATTTTGGTGTCGCCCTCAAGTTCACTTATTCCGATTCGGTGGATTTTGAATATCCTTCCTCCCTTGTCGGAGTCTTCCCATCCATCCCCCACTGCCACTGTATCGAGAACATTTTCGATCTTCCGCCCGTGGAGGGACTGGAGTATCGTGTTGGTTTAACCGACGGTGCTCTGCTGAACGCTTCAGCGCTGGCTGGATTCCCTTCTTTAGCTACTCTGCCATACACCGCTTCTCTTGGGCACCATGGCGTCAATGTATTCCAGCAAGAGAGTCGCAACCAGAGCATGGTCGTCAACATCCTGGATACGGAGAAGCGCACCAACGTCGAGGAAGCGAAGCGCAAGCTTGGAAAGCGCTGCTTCGTTGGCTATCCCTTCCTTCAAGAGGCCAAAATCGTGCGCGTATCGGACGAGCTTTTTGATTACGAATTGGCAGAAGGTGGTAGCGGACAGGTTATGTCGCGGAATCATGAGACGCGGGACATCGAGCAATGGGGCAAGACGGCTCACAGAATCGAGAACTTCTACAGCAAGCGCCTGGGTATACTGATCGGTCAGGTGGAGTCATTGGTCCACGTACACATGCTCAAGGGCCTGATCAAAACGGATGAAGGCGCTACAGTCAAGGAGTACGGCCCGATCCCAGGCATGGAGACGGACTACGCCGCACAGATCATCGTCGACGAGGTTGTCAACGAGGATGAGCGTTTTATTGAGAGGGCTGCCTTGCCTCTTGAGGAAGAGTTTCCTATCAAGTCCGTTGGCTTCTTCTTGGGCGAATTCAACTTTGGTCGCCCAGTTGAAGTTGAAGGTTACAGCAACAACAAGCTTATTGTCTGGCTTGCCGCCCTGAAAGAGCGGGAGCCGGATTTTGCTCGCCAGATCATGATCGACGCAGAACGGAACAACCAATATGTCCCGTCATGGTCAGTTGCCAAGGACTTGATGCTTCATCCTCTTACCTTGAGCAAGATCACGTCTTCCTACTTCATCACAACACTTGGCGGCTTGCGGGTCAACCTAGGCCTCAACCTCAAGTTTGAAGGCAAGAAGCAGAAGGTGCTTGGCTATTCACGCAAATCTCAAACGGGTTGGGAGTTCAGTCCGCTTGCTATCGGCATGATTGCTGAGTATATGAAAAGGTTCCCGGATTTCTTTGCTGCTATTAAACAGAATCCATCCGGCGCCGAACTGACCGAGACGGATTTGTGGTCCGAGCCGGCTGTTGCCTCGGCTAGAGTGAAGGAAATTGGCGCCTGGTTGAAGACGCTGAAGACGAGCCAGATGGAGCGAGTTCCGCTTGACGCTGAACAACTTGATTCCGATGTTGTCATGAGGCTCGCTGCTGAGGCCGACAGGCTGCAGCTCGGACAACTACCTGCTGCGAACAAGAGGGTGCCCAATGTTCCTCGCCATGCCCTACTGCGCCCTTGTGATGCGGAACATCGTCTTGGAAATCAGCACTTCAGCCTGGGTGATCGTGTCGTTTACGTCGCTGAGGTTGGCAAGGTTCCCATCGCCTACCGTGGAACTGTGGTGGGTATCAGCCGCGTCCCGACGGCCAAGTTGCTGGATGTGGTTTTCGATGTTACTTTCATGAGTGGAACCACCCTCGGTGACCGGTGCCCTCCTTTCCGTGGCCAGACGGTGCCGTCCCACACCTGCCTCAACCTTACCCACCGCCAAGTCGTTGTTGGCTCCAAGGCAGCCATGACTAGACAGCCCACCAACCCTTCAGTTACGACATTGACGGCTCACGGTGGTTACGGGTCGCAGGCTAATGACAAGCAATTCCGTGATGCGCCTCAGCCTCCTCCTCTGCAAGGAACCTGGCGCGGTGTTATCCATGGCGGTGGTCGCAGCCGTGGGGGTCGTGGAGGTTTTCAGTCGCCCACCATCAAAATGGTCCTCAGCAGGGCGAGAACCAGCACAGCAACCTCGCCTATCGCCAGGCTCCCAACGGCCCAAGCGGTCATCACCAGCCCCAGAGACAGCCTTATGGTCCGGATGCCAGCTTTAAGGGTTCCTCTAACGCCGGTACCCCTCAAGGTGGGCGTGGCGGCCGTGGTGGTAACTTCAGGGGCAACTTCCGTGGGCGCGGTGGCAAGCCAGGAGGTGCTGACCAGTCGGCGCCTGCCCTCGTAAACGTCGATGGCAACTTCGGTGGTGAAGCACAACAGCAGTCTTCGCCAGCTCAGGGCGTGTACTCTGCGGTCCCTCCTCCTGCTAGCCTTGATTCGCCCAGGGGCGGTCGTGGTGGCCGTGGCCGTGGCGGTCGCGGTAGAGGTGAAGGACGTGGTCGTGGTGGCGCTGGTCGCGGTGCCAGAGGCGGTGCCAGAGGCGGCGCACCCCAGGCATAAGTGGCTTAGGCAATATTAGGTTAATATACCGAAGCTATAGGGCATCATGTGCTTGTATATACTTGCTTGGTATTGAACTTGTTTATACTCCGTGTGAATGGATAGGGATAAGACACAGCGGGTCTCACAGGACATGGTGTACAGCGAACCACTTAACAAAGTAGATAGTAGAGTATACCTCCTACCTTTGGTATACGATTGCATAGCGAAAACAAAAGCTCAATGTCCATATATTTATTGTCTCCCTTCATGTCCTAACATACAGTGGTGTCGTGATACGCCTGCTCTTCAACGTGACTGGCTGTTAGTAAAGCACAAGAGTTCTACATTGTCGAACAACGTCCAGGCACTAGTTCGTTCCTGGATATGCCGCTCACTTCCTGTTCCACAGTCCATTGACATGATGGGCCTTTTTCGCGGCTGAAATACCACGGGCAGAGTTCATACTGAACCACATTCTCTGGCACAAATCCCAAGATTCACGCTGCCCGCGATAATGCCCTGTATTCATTCTTCAGAGACACGTGCTTGGTGTTATCAAACGTAGCTTCATTACGCTCTATTCTCCAAAACACCCCCAACAGCCCTTATCCTTCCTTCCTTCTCACATGCATACGCCATGTTACCACTACCGACTGCCCGCCGACGCAGGCTTCTTCTCCTTAATAGCAGGCAGCTTGAAGCGCTTGCTCACCCCGTTCTTCAGAGCCTTCCAATACCCATAATCAACGTCCTGGTTCCAGGTAAGCAGACCAACCCACGGCTGGACGTTGTAGTGCAAACGGAGGGTGACGTTCTCGGTCGTGGCGAGCTTTCCGGAGGGATGAGTGATTTTGTACTTGTGGCGTTGGTTCTTGAGGACGAGTTTGCCGCTGTTATTCCAAAGTTAGTAAAACATGTAGGTCGACGAAGACGTGCTGCCTAGTTAGGTAAGTGGATATGGTAGTTAGAGAGGCTTACCGGTTAGGATCAATACTCTTCCCGCCCGCGCTCTTGCGCAGCTTCTTCATGGCGACGGGACCAATGGTTGGCCAGGTGGTCGGCGCTGGGCGAGGTGATGATGCTATCCCAGATGACGGCCTCATTGGTCGCGTTTGTTGTAGAGTGGTCGGCCGCTGGCCACTCAGCCGTTACGTAGACGAAGACTTGCTTGGTGTTCCATGTGAAGAGCGAGGAGAGGTCGGCATCGAGAGAGAAGTTGATGACGGCGTATTCTTCCTTTTTGCTGGAGTAGTAGTGCGGTCGGCCTCGAACGCTGTTGTGGTTTGGCAGGTGTGGTTAGCGAGTGATATTTACTTGGGGATATACATGGCAGCCTTGCATGACAGTAGACATGGCGAAGTAATGCCAGGCACAGAGGGGAAAGGCTTCACGACTCACACTTGGACACTGGTTGTCTTAAGGGTTCGCACAATAGGCGCCCGTTCTGCGACGAAGTCGGAAGCGGCGATAAAAGCCGCGACTACAAAGGCGACGGTTGTAAAGAAACCAAATACATTTTGTAGTCTCACTACTGATGTATACATGGTGGGCGATAGGTGGATGGTCCCTTGTCTTGAAGCTTGGGGTTCAAGATGCGCTCCGAAGGAGGGGGGGTAGCTAGGGGACCGTTGACGTCGGTGTAAATACAGTTTTTTAGTCCAATTTCACTAGAAGAGTCTCATCGGCAGGTCCAAGTGGTTTCGGCTGGAAAGGTTGACACTGGCGTTGTTGTTGCTGTCACCATCGGTTTTGGCCAGCTTTGAAACTCCAAAGGGCACCTTGACGGACTTGTCGATAAGGCCAGATCGTGATGATGCTACAGTTGGGTTAGGGTTATGCGTTGAAATGGCATTCCGTTCAGGTTGAGACAGCAGCATCCCGTGCTGGGCCGTCCCCAGAACGCACAGACCAAATCGATCCACCGATTTGATGCCCGGCCCTTGGGGTTCTCGGGGTGGAACCACTTTCCCTTTTAGCTTCCCCCGGGACTGACAACCGCAGCCTGTGATGTAACGAACGAACGAACCGGTTGCACCTCACTGACCCAAACCATCTGCAAATCATCACAAAGTCCACCACCCCAACGAGCCAGCGACACGTCAAGAAACCAGAATTATAGCGGACCTACGTACCTCTGCCTCCCCATCCTCCGCTCTGGAATCATTTTGTATCGTGGCATAATCCCAATGAATGCTATGTCCCTAAGCTGCCAAAATGGGTGCGAGCGACTCTAAGCTGGTATTCAAGAAGGGCATCTTCCGCCTCTCTGAAGAACGACACATCCCAGCCGATGACACCTACTGGACATCGGTCAGTATTGCCTAGTCCATTGTCCTCGATACCCAGATGTCTCCTCCGCCCGCCCTCTTGTGTATACCCTCATGACAATGAACCCGTCCTCATCCACATCTGGCGGTAACCGGGGCTAACCGTGTAACTCTCGGGTGTTTGTAGTTCTGGGAATTGCCCGAAACCTCGGAAGATGTCTTCAGCCTCTTTGCCCCCGCCGACGTTCGCCGAACCCGAGACAATGCCTTGGAGAATTTAGAGACGTTGATATTAGCCGTGACATCGCGACTCTTTGTACTCCGTCACCACCCCTCGTTCCCCGATCCCGAGATCGCTCCCGACAGTCATGCTCTCAACTGCATCCGAGTCCTCACCCGCATCCTCCCGTTCCTCTACGAGAAAGAGTCATTGCAGTCCTGGGAGGAGAACTTCTTCTGGGCCCGCCGCCGCAAACGCACCAGGACATCTTTAATAGCCAACGAGGTGCTCTTCGACGAATCGCAAGAAGTCCAACCCAGACCGCCCGAGGAGTTCGAGGACGCAAAGCCGCTAGCTGAGGAGCTTATCGACACCCTTATCGATCTGCTGTTTTTCTCCGACCTTACGGTACCAAGACAGCCGCATGGCAGTCCCAAAGTCAGCTATTCGATATGGCAGAGCGGCGTGGGTTGTGCGACGTCGATACCGACTACCAAAGAACACGAGAGCAACCGATGTGAAATCCTACGGTTGTTACTGACTCTGACGAGTCAAAGCATGTACTTGTCGCCGAGTGTCTTGCCGTTGAAGGGAACCCGGGCCCTTACCCACATCACAACATGCCCAGACAAGCAAGTGGTTCTCTCGGTCTTGTGCTCGCTTCTGAACACGGCAAGTTACCATTTTCGTCCCCACAGGTCACACATACTAACCATGTGCTAGACACTCAAGTATAACCCTGCCACCTGGCGTGTGCCGTACAACACTCTTGTCTTCAAGGATCCCAAACAAATACTCGTCACATATACTCTGCAATTTCTCTTGGTGGTTCTGCTCTATCCCGTCCCAGAGGAGCCAGGAGTTCTGACACCCAAGAACTTCTACCGCCATTTTGCTGGCAGGCTCCATCGGCCCCAAGATTTCCAGTTCATCGTGGATGGCATGACGCGGATACTACACCAACCGCTTCAGGCCAATGCTTCCTATATCCCGGGGGCACAGAACTCAGTTCGGTTCGCTCCCGAGACCATCATGCTGTTCTGGGAACTGACCCAGTGCAATAAACGCTTCCGCTCTTTCATGATCGACACTGAACGGGCACACGACTTTGTAATTTTTGTCCTATTCTATGCACTCGAATACAAGGGCGACGCTTCGAAGCAGGGCGTGGTGAGGATGTGTGCTTTCCTGCTCCAGACTCTCAGCGCAGAGAAGAACTTCGGCATTAACCTGAACAAAATGTTCGAGGCTCAAGAGACGCTGCCCCCGGCTATTCGGATCACTGGCTTCAGGGGAACCTATGCAGACTTCCTAATTCAAGTAGGTTTCTCCAAGCACAACTCGAGATATCTGATTCTAACGGCTGCTAGTCTATTTATAATCTCATCACCAAGAGTCAGGGGAAGCTTACCGTCATCTATCCAGCTCTCCTTGCTGTTATTAATAACATATCTGCTTACCTCGAGGGACTCAGCGGATCTACCTGCAACAGACTCATTCAGCTCTACAACTCGATGTCATCCCCTTCGTTCCTTATGGCGAATGAGACTAATCACAACCTACTAAGATCATTGTTGGAGTCCATCAATGCTATTGTAGAGCATCAGTATAAGAGTAAGCCACACCATCGCTGGGATCCTAGTTGACATATGTTCTGACCATTTCCCACAGAGAATCCCCACTTCATATACAGCATTATTAGGAATAGAAAGCGATTCGAAGCCCTGCGCTCTTTCACATTGGAGAGTGGCCAGGAGGAGATAGAGAGACGTAACCGAAGAAAGAAGGAGGCTGCTGCCTCGAATGACCCATTGGAGACCAACTCAACGAGAAGCTCCTTGGATAGCCTAAGGAGCCCCACAGCGTCTGTCACGCGGGTCCCTACGCTTCATGATGTTCCCGAGGATGGAGCATTCGCGGTTGGTGACGATGATGATGATAGCGATGATGAGCAAAGGCCTACTCCGTCTCCTTCAAGCCACAGCGAGAATCCGTCCCGTGCATCATCTGTAGAACCCCATGCGGATGGCAGTGATGTACCAAGACAGCTTCGAGGCATGTCGGAAAAGGCTAGGGGCAAGATGCCGGCAGAACCACGTTTCTCTCGGCAAAACAGCACAACCAGTTTGGGCGGCTACTCCATATCTGGCCAGTCTCAGACCGGGGCCTTTGAGCCAACGGCTGAATGGATTGATAGCTGGCTCCCAGAGCTGCCGCTTCATACCATCTTGACGCTGATCAATCAGCTCACGGCGCTACTGCCTCGTCAATCCATTGCTACAGATTCGCCCACGCCGGCAGTTTTACAGAGGATCCAGGAAATCCAACTTGTTGGGGTGGATGCCTCGCCTGTACGAGTTCACATGTTTGAATGGTCGCCAATGGCGCTGGGATGGTACGAGTCCCTGCTTTGGGGGTTCGTCTTTGCCAGCGAAATGCAGGTGGCCAGAGGCACTGTGGGCATCTGGAACACGACCAATATCAAGCTCTTCCATGTGCAACAGACGGCAGCACAAGGCCCTTCGCTGACTTCCCCACGCGGAGCCGTGGATGCGGTTGGAAGCAACATTGTATCTCGCATCGGAGCTATCAACCTCCGGGGAGCTGCAGGTTCAGCTGTTCCTCCTGGAGGAGCCCAGGCCCCGCGACGTAGCGGCTAGAAGAATCTGTGATGATGGGTTTCAGCTTGGCTGCTTGGTTTGTTGGCTGTTGAGTCTGATTTCTTGATGGGGAAAGGGGGGGACACCAATCACAGTCATTGGTTTTCTTTGTGGCTGAGGTCCCATTGGGGCGACAAGAAGACCGGCTTCGTATGTGGCGGCGATCAATTACACTACAAGTGAGCGGTCCTGCTCTGCCTGCTTGTGTCGTTGGGTAACATGCCTGAGGATGGTGCATGGGAGGATGTGATAGGAAGGAGGGTTTCAAGAACATGGTTCTGCAAAGGACTGGAATAATCAATGGGCGGACAATGAGTCCCAGGGAGGCCGCCCACATATCTGCTCTCGACCAGTTGTGGCGAGTGCAGTTGATAGAGCAACTACAGGAATACATAGCAGACAAAATAATGAGCTTCAAGATCATCCCCAAGCCACATCGTTGGCCCATTGCTCTATCGAGGAGAGTGGCGAGTGCGTACGACGGACGCCTTTCTTACATGGAGTGTCATATAGCATAAGAAATACAGTATTAGTGGTATCAATTGGGCAGGTGGTGGTGGGTTACACACACCTTACCTCGCTTACACGCGATGCGATATACTTCGGGATTCGGTGATGATGGCAGAAAAGGCAGTGAGATGTCGTCGCTTTGAACCTCATCTAAAGCCTCAAGATGATGTCAAAGCCGTAATGTGACCTGTACCGCGGTTCCTTTATGCTTGGCTCACTCACGACCTTTCCTAGCTTTCGTAGTCGAGGTACGTGGTGTTTGTCTCTCCGCACAATCTTCAATGTTCTCTGGTGGGACAGAACCCCAAATCTCCCCCGCAGGCACAAGCGAGACAGCCAAGTTCGAATGACACACTCCCATTGTTGCATCCCATGGTCGAAATCGTCGAATCGTCGGTTTGGTGAGTTTGGTCGGTCGGTCGGTCGGTCGGACCCTTGGTTGATCAATTTCCCGTTCGAAACCTCGCAGGGGTATGGCAGGGACGCCAATGTAGGGATCTTAATTCAAAGGACTCGTCAGCACCGCCACTGTTTCATGACTTCCAAGGCATGGCTTGTGTGGCTGCTGCCGCGGCAAATTGAAGAACTGGCGAATGGAAAGTGCGAAAAGGACCAGCTCTAGCCACAGACAGTTGAGAGTGAGACGGGTTGGGATCGCCAGGGTTGCGGCTTTGTTGCGCGCGTCAAGTTCAACGGCTCGTGGGGATGACGATGGGCAATAAACGACGACAGACAGTTTGGACGACGGATTGGTTGAAAGGAAACTATGTTCATTGCCAACCGCCCCGAAACGTAACGACGTCTTGGTAGGTGTGTACGCAGCCGGGTCCCGGAAATCACACAGAATTGCATGTGCATGTGGATATGTATGCGACCTTGACGAGCAAGTCCTTTCCTTTTTTTCTTCCTTTCGGTCTTCTTTCACTTGGATTTGGAGATGATTTGACAATCTGTTTTCGAGACCCTCTTTCTCTTTTCTTTCTGTCTCCTCTTTCTTCTCTTCTCTCGGCCCTCCTCTCGCATTGCAGGCTTGTGACCTTGGTCACTACACTACCTACCCCCCTCCCCCCCCACCAAGCCATTCAAACAGGCCCAACCCCCCCTGGGCCCTACCTAGTCCGACCCCTTAAATGTGAACTACGGTATCATTGGCGATATGGCGCGCATTCGCTGCCGTCCTTTCATTGCACCTAGTGTACCGCCAGATGACAGATCCTGGGTTCCCTTCGTAGGGTTTCCTCCGACCGAACGGCTAGGGGCCCAAGCCAAGCCAAGGGAAAGCAAAGCAAATGGAAGGCGCGCGCGTTTCGGCAACCGTTAAGTTTTGCGGTTGTGCAGAAAAAAAAAAGAAAAGAGAGAGAAAGTTCGTGATGCGATAGGTAACACAGATGAGTCCATGAAGGACCGGGGGGGGGGGGGGAAAGAACAAGCAGTTGAGAAACCGAGGAAACCCATTCCAGAAAAAAACACAAGAGAGACTAAAACGAAAATAGCTATAACCCGACAACTGAACAAGCATACACTCAGCATCTGCATACCTACCTACATACAGCAGACAGAATGCGGGTACACTGCGTACCCGAGGGAAGTACACTAGAATGGCTTGGAACAAAAACGGTATACTGCGGGAATCCAATCTACATGGTCGTATTAGTCGACCCTGCATAAGCACAGCAAAAAGTTAGGTACTTTTTTCTCTTGGCCTGCTTCCCAGATGGCCTGATAAAGGTGCGCCAACGGCTTTTACGGCTTTTTTTGAGCGAAGTCCTCCGCATGCAGGTCCTGAAATTCTATACTTATAAACGGGGGAGGGGGTGTGTCTTTGCGCCTTCGGTTGTTCTCTTCTCTCAAGGTTACCGACCGTACCTCTTACTCTTACCTACTTTACCTGACCCCCTCCCTACCTCTCTTTTTAGTTTTCTCCAGCCCAGACCCATATCCCCATCTGGCGGCTGAGTATCCTTTTTCGTTCTGTTATTTCTTTTTTCTTTTCCTCTCTCTTCCCTTTCTCACATGTATGCATATTCTCGTTGAGGGACCGCCGCATGCCGACTAGGTGGTGCTGAACCTTTCAACTCTTCCTTTTGTTTTATTAACTTGTGGACTCTCTCGAACGATTTCTCGACTGTCGTTTTCGATAATACATATTTTCACATATATAATTTACTACTAACCATAGCCATCTTCTCACCATCTCAGCGACATCTTTGGACACGCCCTAAGAAACTCCTTGAAAGCGAGAAATAATAGAGCTGGATCAACAATGGCGGATCCAAGCAGTGATGTCCAGGTGGCCCCTGGTGAGGAAGTGAAGCCTTATAAGATTCATGTGAGTACACATAACTTCAACTTGTGTTTACGCTGAGACACATGGCTAATACGAGATTGTTAGATCCCTACCAAGCACCTTGACCTCACCAAACAGAAGTTGGAGCTTACTCGTCTTCCTCACGAGGGCTCTGGTTCGGGCAACAAGTCTCAAGACTGGTGGGAGCCCAAGCCGATCGTGGAACCGCTCATTGATTTTTGGTATGAACAACACATCAAACAGGATACTCGAACTCGAAGTAGAGGCATCAGGACACCAGACTAACAGGTATATCCGGAATAGGCTTGAGAGATACTCCTGGCGCGAAGCAGAAAGCACGCTCAACAGCACCCTCCCCCAGTTCCGCACCACCATCACCCTCCCGAACCTCGACAACGCCGCCCTCCGAGTGCACTTCATCCACGCCCGCTCTCCTCATCCTGACGCTGTGCCTCTCCTCCTGATCCCTCCGTTTCCCTTCACCAACCTCTCCCTGGGACACCTCATCAAGCCCCTCACAGATCCCGATGCGGCATCAGAAGATCAGAGGCAGCAGGCTTTCCACCTCATCATCCCCTCCCTCCCCGGCCTCGGCCTAAGCGACGCCCTCCCAGCCAACATCTCGCCCATCCCCGCCTCTGCCACCATTTTCGATACTCTGATGCACCGCCTCGGCTACGCCCAGTACCTCGTCACTGGTTCCGGACCGGGCCACCTGTCTCCCGCTACGATCGATTTCCGAGTGGTCAACAGGCTGGCCACACACCACGTCGACTCGTGTGTGGGCGCGCACCTGATCGCTCCACCCCTCAAAGCGCCGACAAGAAAGGAACAGGGTACCGGGGCGTGGGTCAAGTGGAAGGTGGCCAAGATGTTGAAGAAGGAGAAGTGGGGGTATGAGGCGGGTGATTGGGGGATTTTGGCGCAGGACAACAACGGCAACGGCAATGGGGGAAAGACGAAGGAAGGAACAAGGAAAAAGATGGGGTTGAACACTCTTGGTGGCGACGGCGGTCTGGCTGAGGACCCCAACACACTTGCTTACGCGCTATGCGACTCGCCCACTGGCATGCTCGTCTTCGTGCTCAGGGGTTTGCGCGCCATGGGGTTGGATGAAGCAGCCTTGTCTTCGCCGCTCTTCACGCATGAGAAGATCATCACGCTGACGAATATGTTGTGGTTACCCGGTCCGGAAACGGCCATGAGGTACTGGGCGCATTGCGCTGCGTATCCTGAGGACGATGGTGGGAAGTCAGCCAAGCTGGGCAAAAAGCCCAAGGTCGCGATAACGGTCTTCACTGGCACCGGCAACACCGGCAAATCCCCAGTAGCACCGGAAACGACAGAAGCGACGGCAGCAGCAGGAGCTTCAACCGACACCCTCCCCGCTCTCAACAAACAAGTCCCCTTGTCCCGCTCCGAAGCTGCTGCCCGCTCGGCTGAGAAGCACACCTACGTCTGCCCGGCATGGGGCAACTCCGTCTACGACGTTCTGTATCAAGAGCGCGCCTCAGGGTACGCTGACGGTTTGCTAGCGTTCACGCGGCCAGAGATCATCGTCTCCGGCGTTAGGGGACTGGCGAATGAAGTGCTGGCACGGGAACCGCGACTACTAAAAGCCAAGTCTCAGAACCAACAACAGAAACAGGCCACAAATGAACACCCACCGCAACCACAACCGACAGCTGTCGGTGGTTCCTCCCTAACTTCCTTCCCATCCCCTTCGTCACCAAAAACGAATCACGGCCCCGCCGCCGCCGGGCCTGTGTCTTCTCCCGTTCCCCTAGACAAAATCGGTGTCGTACCCGCTTCTCCCGTCGACGAGCCCTCCAGCGGCGGCGGCGGGCTCAAAAAGCCGCCCTCGGTAGTGGTAGCCCTCACCCCCGGAACCACCACGATCCCCGAAGAAGAAGCGGAAGATGATGGTAGCGATAAACAAAAGGAAGGAGAAGAAGAAGAAAAGAACCGAGGTAGATCGACGAAACCGGAGAAGGGCAAGGCGATTGCTGCCATGTCCAAGGTGCCGCCGCCGCTGCCGCCTACAGGCAACAATAATCCTAATTTGCTGAATCTGCCGACGAGGAATCAGTCGGAGGGCGAGAGTCCGGATACGTTGGTTAATACGCCGAGTCCGTCGCCTAGTTCTTAGGGAGGTGAGCGGAAAATGAGGGAGAGAGGGCGGGTAAAAGGGAAAAGGGGAAGCTACTTCTAATGATGTGTGATTTGGATTTGATTTGAGGAGAGGAGAGGAACTTTGCTTGGATGTTTTCTCTTCTGATAAGCGGATGTTTTTGGGACACCCATTTTGCTTTGTTAACCTTTTTTTTCCCTCTCTGATCCGTTTATTTTTGAGAGCTCAAATGATACCATGGGGAAAAGTAACAATTGGAGGAATTGAAGTTGAAGAGCAGCAGCAGCAGCAGAATTCAGATACAGATGAATGAATACCCAAAAACCTGTACTACCTACCAACCATTTTACAGACAGCGATGCAATGTGAAATGATCCGTACTACTCACTCTACCATGAGCCTTTGAGTACTGTGTGAGGCCTTGTCACGCCCTCATAATCATGATCGGAATGTCAAAGACTGAATCGAATACTTCTAGGGCTGGAAGAAAAAAACAAATGGGTATCTTGGATCAGTAGTAGTTCTCTTCTCGCTAAGAAAATGCGCCCCAAAACGGAAAACCCCATATTTTGCCTGATTTTGAATATGACCCCGCGGCTTATGTGAGAACAAAGCCATGCAACGTAAAGATCATTCTCAGCGTCCAGTCCATAGCTAACATACAAGAACCTTATACAGAAGGGAAGAAGAAAACTCCTCGACAAAGACGAAGCAAGAAACCGCCTTGGTGGTGCTGGTGGTCACAGAATCACAGACTCTGCTGCATCACGCTGCTGCTCGGCGACCTCCTTCCCTTCTCAAAAAGCCACTTGTTAGTCAACGCAACACTCGATACATTCGACCGCTTTCCCGACGCCGGGGTCGGCGTGGCCGGACCCTCTCCACCAAACACGCTGCTGCCCGTGCTAGATCCAAATGCGCTACTGCTGATGCTAGACAAGAAGGGGTTGTTGCCCGCAGTGCTGGCGCCGAGCGGGCTAGGAACGTTCACCGCGGACTGCCTGTTTCCCTGCATGGCCTTCTGGAAAAGAGGGCTGACGGGCGAGGGCGAGTACGGCTGCGCGTTGAGGGTTCTTCCCGGGCTACCGTTGTTGGCGGCCGACAGCGCAGCAGAGCCTCCAGTCTTCATGCTAGCCGGCATTCCTGCCATCGATGGCGTCCTGGAGTACTTGGGAGGTGTGCTGATGGAGGGTCCTCCTGGGGTCGCTTTCGTGATCGACGGCAGCCCGAGGAGCTTCCTCTGGGAAGGCGTCAGGGGGATGTCGGAGAGGTCATCGGCTGGGCGGAAAAGCGGCAGGAGTGCCACGACGATGTTGAAGAGAGGGACCAGGAGAACGGCGGCGTAGATCCAGCTGCTGGAGCTCTTGGAACTCAGGGTGAGGCTAATACAGATAAGTGTTAGCATATTTGGTACCATTGCTTGCTTGTTTGCCTCCAGATGAGGAAGGGACAGTGTGAGGAGAGAGACAACATACAAGTCCACGCGAGAGTAAGGGTGAAAAACCGTCCGCAGACCCTCGATGACGAAGAGGGCCAAAGAGTTGTATGCGATCTGCCTCACGTTCCTTTCGCCAAAGACAGTCCTGCTTCGCCGCTTCGTTATCTCGGCCAGTCGAGGATGCCTCCAGTTGCCGGGACTCGCTTTGACCGTGGCGGCGGGGGCGGTTTGCTTGACCGGAGTCAGGACATTTCGGGTCACGGTCGTCGCCATGGCAGGCTTAATGAATCAGGTTGTTGTATGGCTGAGATCGTGAAGGGGTCGAAAGATTTGGATGATGTACTGGATGGTCCGAGGACGCGCTTCGGTCTCAATGTGGTCGATAATGCTATTAGTATCGTCACTGGTCTTGTCGATGATGTTGTGCTTTTTGCGCCCGTACTGCAGCTGATCGGTCAAGCTGCTTTTGAGAGCTGTAAGTCGTTCTCGCTGATGGTAATGGTTAATAGTAGATGAATATTTGGCCGTAGCCGTGGGCGCATGCGGATGTTGAGCTTGTCAATGGCTGGGTTCTAGGCGTTCTTCTGGTGTCGTCAGTCGCAAGTCAAAGAACTGACGCTCGAGTCGCGCGCCGCGATAAAGTCAACACTGGGTGGGACTTCGCAAATGCCAGTGGCGGCTTGGCAAAGTGAAGCTCCCAAGCAGGTTCCGAACAGGCTCGGCAGGCAAAGGGCCAAAGCTTGTTGCCGGCCAATTGCCGGACCTACATGGCAGCCAAAATGCTGTCTTGGGTTAGGGTTGTGCATGGACCATCTCCGCTCGATCATCCACTATCTCAACGACACAGTCGAGTGCTTAACAACAACATTATGGGCTTGTCGACACTTCACTCATTCACCTGCAAAATACGTATTGATTTGTGCCGGAGTGAGCCTGTCATATACATATACTTCATGAAAGCAGGGCTCCAGCATATTTGTACCGGAGCCTTGCTTTTCCACCAGAGCAACCGCATTCTCCTGAAACCCAGTGAATCGTCCTTTATTAGCTAATATGTTCATGTACCAAGTGCAATGGTGAGCTCCCGTCTTCCGTCAACAGACCTCCATTCTTGAAGCTCTCATCCTAGAGTGACGCTTGCTTGAAGCAGTATTTATTTTGAAGGTTTGGTGCAGGACACCTTTGTTATGTTCATTGGTATCTCCTCTGATTGCCCAGAACGGCATATCACACTGACTCGGGCACAACAGTCTACCGCAGCACATACCTTTGTATTTGGAGATCTGGAAATTCGAGTCGCCCGCTGCAGTATGATTTCCCATCAATCAGGTCCAGCTCGAGCGAGAGTGTCGCAGCTTAATGTTTGGCAGTCATGGCCGGCATATCGAAATCACCGGAATCGTTGATATGGGTGCCCGTCGATCGACATCATCGCAGTAGCACTTATAGTATGCTGCTTTGTCCTCATTCGTCGTCCGGCTCAGTTTCGACTTCATCCGTCTTGTCCCTATTTCCATGTCAGCAAAAGATATCGTCGAGTTGTCCCGGTAATTGGCCCCGTGACTGGCCCGGTTAATGCCAGACGCAATCTGAAAGACGGGACAGCCGTTGATGGTAGCGACGCCCAACCCGTTCGATCGTTTTTGAACTCGAACCAATTTACAACCGTTCTTTAAGAATAAATTGCGGACACACTCTTATAATCCGGGGCCCCGCCATTCCAAGGATTACCGATCTTTCAAGCCGCCTGACAGACCGTGGACACCGCAGCCCATTCGTCTCAAGTGATGGTGGAAACCGGGGTATGGTGCTATTCATTTGTATGTGGCTTCTGACTTGCTCGGGACTTAGGGACTCGGTGCAATTCTCGGATGGACAAACTACCTCCGTCGGTAAAGGGTGCCATATTTCACGTATGGTGAAAGCGAGACTTCTTGAAGGGGATATAAATATGAAGTCGTGAGGGCAGCTTTACGATGGAAGTGTCTCCAAAGAGCAAGGCAGATAATCTCCAATAGGCACTGCTCGACTCGATAAACTTCACAATGAAGATCTCACTGCTATCTCTCATCACGTACGGGCTGGCAGTGGATGCACATGCCATCTTCCAGGTAAGCATGGACAAGGCACTCCCTCTTCCGAGAAACGGGACGTAGGATTGACAAGTGGGCTTGTAGAAACTCTCGGTCAACGGCAAAGACAACGGTCAGCTCACGGGCATCCGCGCACCGGGAAACAACAATCCCGTTCAGGATGTGAGCAGCAGCAACATGGCATGCGGAGCTTCTGGCACCAAGTCCCAGACCGTGATAAACGTCGCACCGGGCGACCGATTGGGGGCTTTCTGGGGACATGTTATTGGCGGCCCCCAGTTTCCAAATGATCAGGACAATCCAATCGCGAAGTCCCACAAGGGACCTGTTATCGCCTATCTTGCTAAAGTCAACGACAACGCGGCATCGGCCAGTTCGACCGGCCAACAGTGGTTCAAGATTTGGCAGGATGGCTTCGAAACCAGTAGCCGGAAATGGGGTGTCGATAACATGCTCCAAAACAACGGCTGGACTTACTTCAATCTGCCCAATTGCATCGCGCCTGGACAATATCTCTTGCGCGTGGAGATCATTGCCTTGCATTCGGCGAAGAACTCAGGCCAGGCCCAGTTCTACCAGTCGTGTGCTCAGATCAACGTTTCTGGGTCCGGCTCCTACACGCCTTCGTCGACCGTGAGCTTCCCCGGTGCCTATAAGTCGAACGATCCGGGCATCCTGATCAACATTTACGGTAAGCTGGGTCAGCCTGATATGGACGGCAAGCCGTACACCGTCCCCGGGCCGGCACCGATTACGTGCTGAATGGGGTCGTTTTCCGGGCTAAACCAAAGTGATGGAGATTTCCCCCCTAGCGCATTTCGGGCGTGGAGGTTTTGTACTGTGAAAGCGAACAGGTGTGGAGGTTGGCTCGGAGACGGAAATTCGATGGATGAGAGCGTTCGGATGGTGCGTTTGAGCATCGACGCTGGTAGGATTCGGATGGGATTGGCTTCGATGTGCCTGCTGTTGCTCTTAGCGATAAGCCCTGTATGATATTTTTGATTATCAAGGGAAAAGGAACCGCTGTATAGCAGCGCGTCGTCCACCACACATCCTTAATAAACAGTGGGAAATCTGTGTGTTCCTGACACCTTCGAGGTTCAATGTTGAGGGGTGTCCACCTGCTCGTGGGATGCCGGCAGTTCCTGAGTTGGAGTGCCCTTGGCCGTCATTCTGGCTTCTCTCAGTGGCTGCCTGGTGGCTGCACTCTGCTTCCAAGGTACTTCTCGAAGCCAGCAAGCTGCAGCCAAAAAAGGGGTACCGCATGGAAGGCTCGGAAGAGAAAAAGCTTGAAGGAACCGCGGCAGCGCGGCATCCACACGGCTCGGAACATGACTGGACGCATTGCTCTGCATCGTCGCATGGAGTCATGCACGGTATGTGGAGTTAACCGGGAATAATAGTGCAACACCTGTGGCTCTTCTGTGGCCCCCAACTATCAGTCGTCACCGCTCGTGGGCACTCTTCGTGGGCTCGGCAAGATAAGCAGAAATCTCGAGGGCGAGCTTGGCTCGAGCACAGGCACCCTGGTCTTTCTTAGGCATCTTCGGTATCTCGGAGCAAGTTTTTGTTCAAGTCGAACCCTCGACAACCTTTCTTTTCATGTGGTTTTTCTGACGTTCCTGCGCGGTTCCTGACCTCTTCCTGGCCCAGTGCCAAATGGTGCGTGCGCAGCTGAGAGTCGAAGAACCGCACCAAAAGTTCTGTCGAGAGAGCCCGCAAAGTGGCCGCGAGCGTGCGCGTGGAAACGGCAAAGCTCTGCGGCTGCTCTTCACCGACCAACTGACCATTGCGACACTGTGACCAATGGACAAGTCCTGTGTCTTCCAAGATGAAGAATGCGACTGGAGCCCTGGTAAATTGACGTTCCACTCTGGGCCACTTTCCCAAAGCCTGCTGGTCCGAGCTTATAGCTGGGGTGCTTCGTCCAAGTCGTCACCCCACTACGATATGCTGGTGCTGTTACCACAAAGAAACAGCTCATCAGTCAGATCGTGACGCCAGGACGACTTCCTCCTGCCTTTCCCCCATGCTCATGGTGTTGGACTCAGCTGTCTCGCTAGTCTCGACCTCGGTGGTGATCTCCTCCAACTATTCCCCAGCCGGGGTAAAATGAAGCGAACAATGATAAAAGAGGAATGGTCCCCATCCAAGACTTGATTGCCGAGGCGGTTAAACTTGGCCTATCACCAAGATTTTTGTAGTGGTGAAAATGCCTTTTCCCATTCCTCGTTCCCTCTTTGCGGCATCGTGAAGTAGTAGATGCTGCCAGGTCAGCAATTACATAAAGCATTGAATAATCCTTCATCAGGGTCTCTAGACATGCGGTCTGCGTCCGATTATTCAGGGTTCCTCTAGCTATGCACAACTTATGCAAAGGCAGACCCTAAAGCCTTTTTCGTTGCGCCGCTCCGATGGTTCCTACGCGGTAGGCAGAACGGTACCTGAAGAACTGTGGATTCTTCTCGACCGCCTTGTCTGTGTGGAGGCTCTACTGATCGAACGGATGTGGTTGGCGCCGCGAGTCGTGCTTCGTTCGTGCTTTTGGGTGGTGTATGTAATAAAGGTTTTTTTTCTTCCGTTGCAAATCGCCATGATTGCACGGTGATTCTCGGTCCAAAGTTCTCCACCGGGTGCCCCCTGCCCCTACCAAGGTGAGCTAGGGCAGCGGCAAGAAGCAGGTACGACCGGAGCGCAACTGAATCCACTCCGCTTGTGTCGGCAACGAACGCCGCAATGGCACCGCTAGGTCGTGCTCGCTGTCGAATGGGACCTGGGCGGAATGACGGAGATCGCTGGCCCAGACTCCTACACTACCTAGTCAGAGGGGAAGAGGCCAGGGGGTCTCTTTTTTGACCGAAAAGGCTGGACAGACGCTGTTGTGTGCCTAATGTCAAAGTTGCTGTTAGTAAGGCTAGAGGTATTCGCAGGGGAGCAAAATCAGAGGGGACGGGACGAAGAGAACCACCAAGCTGTCAGCAAGGCAGAGCTTTTGCAGGGAATGGCCGGGGCTGGGGGAGCGAGGTCAGGTCGATCGGACTTTGGTGTAGCGGTGGTTGGAAGTCCCGCCGTCTTGTCGTGTCGTTCTGAACGGTCAGGCCCGCATGGGATGGGGTACCGTAAATTCGCGCACTGAAGTGAGGGATGCGCCCTGCAACAGCCAGGCTCGACGAGTCGACCCGGTGGCCATCTCTCAAGCTTTGGCCAACCTCCCGAGTCCCGCACCTAGAGCTTCTGCTGACCACCGTGCCATGCACAGTTGCAGAGCGCCTTCGCACTGACACAACTTTTCCTGCCCGGTCGGGCGCGCTGGTATCGTGGGCCGTGGGATGGACTTCGGCACGCCGTAACCTGCCAGGAATCGCTGCAGTCTGGACACAATACGCACCCCCCAAAGGAACTGAGAGAAAAAGCCCCACTTTGTTTCTCTCTTTTCATCCCGTCTGCCCCCTCGCATTCACGCGCCGATTCTTTCTTTTCTCTCCTCAACCTCACTTGACAGCAATCATCAGACAGGAGACTTCCGCCCTAGCCCGCTATACCGTCGGTTCTGCATCGTCCTGTGTTGTTCGCCAGTTCTTCTACTCTTATCATATAATTCGACCCTACGGCCCTTCATCCATCCCGTACCGTTCTCATCAAGCTTGAAGCTTCGCCCTTGTCGATTCGTTTCAGTTTAGCGAAACGCAGGATCAAATAATACCTATTACACCTCAGCTCTTTGTCGAGTTTTCTCAATCCGTAAGCCTTCCCGTTCCCTGAGCTCCTGTTGGTTTTCTCTTCCCATATCACCGTCACCGTCACCGTCTATATGGTCGACCTACCTACGTGGACGCCATGTGCACCATGATGCTTTTGCATCGCGCGCTTTTCCCTTGATTCCATCACCCACTCCCCAGCAAAGTTAAGCACGGCGGCACCAGCACAAACCGCTAGCGTGGCCATCAGCAGACAAACATGGCACTTCGGGTTGCGAGGAGAGGGAATTGTTTTTTTTCCTCTCCTTCGGCCGCTCCGGATCTTCGCTATTGCAATTTGCTATGGTTCCGTTGGATGGAGGATGATGACGGGTGCCAAGTGCCATTTGCCAATTGGCGTCTGCGATTGGCGAGGTCCACGATCACCGCATCACCACGCGATACCCACTTCGCACCCCATTATTCTCATCGGACCTACCGGCCTTTGATCGGGCTTGTGTCGGCCTATGGGTCCCGTCTGACCGCCTTTGCATACCATACCCCACTCTTCAACTTTCTTTCCCACAATACTCTGCTCGGCATCGCCATTCAGCTTCACCTAGACAAACTTGCTAACATCGCCTTGCTCATTCAGACATCACAAAATGCCTGCCATTCAGCGCTCCGTTGTCGTCCGCGACACCCTCAACCTCATCGCCAAGCGCAGCAACTGGGCTGCCCGCGAGCCTGGTGTCATTGTCGTCTTCTGCATCTGCTTCATCGTCATTGTCGGCCTCGTCGCTCTGTTCATCCACAAGCAGATCGCTGCCCGCCGTGAGCGCAAGACCCAGTTTTAAGCTACCTACACAAACTCAACAAGTTTGCTGAACCCACCCCTCTCCCACTTCACGCGAGCACATGTCCGGCCACAATGAAGAGATGAAGAAAGGATGAGGGATGTTAATGAAATCGTTATGATTTGGACCTTCGGGAGAGGGGTGGAATGTATGTGGAAATGAATTTGGGAGGGTTCGTCGGATTGATTGGGTGTTTTGGACGGGGAGGTAACCCCTACTATTTACTACGGGCTTCCCCATGAGCTTACTCTGGCTGCAAAAGTGGAAGAAGGGAGTGCTGTTTCAAGGCGCGGTCATGGAGACTGGGAAGAAGGGTCCCTCGGATTCATCATTTCGTTTTCACCGACACACACACACACCACCATCCACCGATACCGATATTGGTCGTTCCCCAGCCGTTGCTTGTTGGGCTACAACCTTTTATTACTATTCTCCCCCTCGGTATTCGATTCTTTTGCGGTTTTTGGAAGGGCATGGGATAACACGGCCAACACGGAAATGGTTAATCTCTGCAAGAGGGCCATTTCTAATCGAACCTTGAGCGGTTCAATGGCGACTTCCCTTTGGACTTGTGGACTGCAGCTTCAAAGAACATTGGGATATCGCCATCGCCAAGGTCGGAGCGAGGGAAAGGTGGACGTTGTTGGGGGACCCTGAACGCCTTTTTACCACTGCTGCAGCCTACTATAAGCTCCTTCTATACTTCTTCAGTCATCCCTTAATATTATTGATACCTAGTTTGTCTACTCACAACCTTGTGGTTTTTGCGTCTTTGTGTGATTTTACTGCTCGGGTGTCTTCATTTCATCTCATTGCAGCCATGAGATATCAGTAAATACTGTTGCCATCAATTGTTGCGAAGTTGTCAACTGTCATGGTAAAGTTGTTCACCATTTCTTATGATAGGGCCGCTAGCACGTGTCTTGCACTACCATGTATATGGATGCTCAAACTCGCTTGCATTTAAGAGCAAAAGTCAGTCTTCTCCAAGTGTATCAAACCATTCGCCGGCTGTTTCACACATATCTTGCTGTTAGCATATCATCACTTCCAGCTCCGGGTTGCAGGCGCTCTCAGATGAGCACATAAGAAATACAACACCATCACTTACCGGGACGAACTGCCTCAACCTCACCCCCGCCTGTCTAAACACCCCGCTGTCTCCCCATCCATACTATACCCCTGGCTATACACCACCTCGCTGATCCCCACCTGCGCAATCTTGATGCTGCACGTCAGACACGGGCAAGTATCGCAGTACAAGACGGCGCCCTCTCTCACCCTCTCCCGCCCGGCTTCCAATAGTGCATTCTCCTCCGCATGCATGCACAAACACGTCGAAAGCCCCTGCCCGGACCCCTGGCCCTCATTGCACCGCCCGCACCCGCCCTCGCCGCAGTTGATCAGTCCCCTCGGCGTACCGTTGTACCCCGTGCTGATGACGCGCTTGTCGCGGACCACGACGCAGCCAACCCGCCGCTTCATGCAGTTGGACCGCTGCGCGGCCAGCGAGGCGAGCGCCATGAAGTATGAGTCCCACGAGGGCCGCAGGCGGTCTGGGTTGAGCAGGTCGAGGTTGCCCAGCGTGGCGTAGAGGTGCGCAAGCGAGGGTGAGGTGTTGAGGAGCCGGACGGTGGCGCGCGACATCAGTGGTAGCCGGCCGGTTTGCGGGAGGAAGAGTTGCGTGTCGTTGAGGTGGGCGAAGGATTCAAAGGTTAATGGGTTTTCTTCTTCTTCCTCGTCGTCTTCGGCCTCGGCTTCGGCCTGGAGAGCGGCACCGCCGGCGGAGGAGGAGGTGGATTGCTTGTTGTTTCGGTGACGCTGTTGTCTCTTTTCTTCGCGCTCACGGAAACGGCGCCATCGGACGGTAAGGGGGCATCGACGCTGATGAGCAGGAAGAAAGGTCGGCGGATGTACATGTCGAGGATCCCCTCGGTGGGGATGTCGGTCGTTACCCATCTTTCGCGCCAGTGTTTGGTGATGAAGTCGAGGAGATCGTCGGCGGAGGAGAAGACGTGGCCCTTGGAGCGGGCGGAGGTTGAAGTCTGCGAAGGGGTGGTGATGTAGGCGGGCAGAAGTTTGCGGACTAAACCGTTGACGTGGTCATTGGGGGATTCGCCATTGACGATATCATCAATGGTCTTGGTTGTGTGCTCTAGCGAGACGCGTGTAAAGCCATGGTGCTCGACGAGATATTGAGCAATGGTGCTCTTGCCGGCGCAAATACCTGTTGACAATGTGTAAGTGACTCAACTAGGTAGTAGATGGAAAGGTAAGAGAGGGGTTGATGTACTGCCGCAGATGCCGATGAACATGGCCAGTCTTCCTTCTAGATTTCTGCTTGAACAGGTTTAATGAGAATCGAGTAACTACTGCAACTATTTCATTAATCTGAGACAAATTCTTGTACGACAGTTCAACTATTTACTGATGGAGTCGATTCATGGGACTGTCGTTAACCTGACAAGACGCGTCGGGGAGGCTCTGAAACGCGTTTAGTGGATGCAGCCGCTACCAGGGCACCGAGGATCTGCCGGCGGGGTATTCCACCCATCGTGCATGCTGGGAGTGGGTTGCTGCTCCCGTCTTGGCTGCTCTTGGGTGTTGGTCGGGTGAGCCCTGTGCCAGATGAAGACTGCGGGGCACAGCTGCCTTGAGTGCTTCAGTTCTGCCCGCCGGGAAAGAGTCACAAGCAAGGCAGCCTTAGACAAAGACATTCCAACCCATCTTCCACCCCGTTCACTGGAAACTTATTCACGCAAGCGCACTGCATCAAAGAAGGCATTACTAAACGCACTCATCTACACAGCTTTCAGCAGTTTCGAGCAAGTTTGGTTCTCTAATACCATCGACACCCACTCGGTTCCTATATCGGAGAAGCGGTCCTGAGTGCACATTGGCGGCGTATATAGTCCGGTGACAAGGGATCGGGTCATAGGGAAGACAGCAGATGACGCAGAACTGCTGACCAACGCCCACGTTCTTGTGAACCCGTCTTCTTCGTTCATCCTGCAGCTTCCCTCCGGAGACGAGACTGCTGTCCCTGTTGTCGCAAAAAGATCGCATCAATAAGCTCTGAGCTGTACGCGCTAGCTAACTAAGGCTTCTTCGACCGCTACTTCTTGGGATAGAAACAGCATATCAACGAACATAAGGAGAGTCGTTACATCCATTATCAGTAGTTTCCAACATCCAAACTTTCTAAGGGCATCGCGGCCAGCTGTGCGCCCTCTCAGCCATGGACCTCAAGTTTGCGACATTCTCCTCGGAGATCGAGCTGCCCTTCTATTCGGCCCTCTTTTCATCCAAACTCGACCATGACAAGCTCGACTCTTCAGCCCGCCCCGTGTTGGGTCTATACGAACCTCGCTCGCAGGCGAACCCAGAGGCCAGCACTAGGATGCAGATCTTGGGAAGTGCCCTGACAAGCGACCAGTAAGTTCCCAAGCACACATTGCTTTTATACTTTACGAACCAAAGCCTGATGATAGGGACGAAAGCGGACCTTTGGGCATGACTCGAGCCGAGGGATACATTAAGAACGTGAACACGATCGAGGAGTTCAAAAACACGGACAAGAATGCAATGATCAAGAAGGCGGGCGAGCAGGTTCGTATCCCAGTAGCTTCACTTGGGTCACGCCAGTGCTTGCGCTTGAACAACAACAAAAGTTTGCTAATGGGTGGGTAACAGATCTGGGATGCTATTCAAGATGGGACGATATACTCTTGTCCATCGCTACTTGCCTCTTTCCGAATCCTCTCATACGCCGACCTGAAGAAGTACAGGTTTACCTACTGGTTCGCATTTCCAGCCCTACACTCGGAGCCGCAGTGGAAGCGAACAGAACCGATCGGCCGACTGAACTCAGACGAAAGCACCGCCCTGGTCGAGCGCATCGGGACATGGCGATACATGGTCGATAGAAGAGAGCATGGATTCTTTCTAGCAAAGAAAGTGCGAGGCGAGGCCTCAGGCCCCAGATCTTCTCTTGATGATCCCGGGGTCGATATTGGATACCGTTGGGATATTGGATCTCTCAGAGACTTCGAGACTGGTTTCTTCAACGATGCGGCGGAAGAGGATAGATACGTTGCTTTCGTGGACCCATCCAACTATCCCGAATACCCTTCGTGGCCTCTCCGCAATCTTCTCATCCTCGTCCGACAGAGGTATCGCCTGAACAAGGTCCAGATTCTTTGCTACCGCGACACGCAGCCTAGGAGACACGAAGCACGGAGCATCATCTTGCCATTGGCTATGGACCAAGTCGGTGATGTGGAGTTGAAGAGTATGCCCAAGGTCACCGGTTGGGAGAGGAACGGAAATGGCGATCTTAGACCACGGGTCGCGAATCTGGCAGAGTACATGGATCCTACTCGACTAGCAGATCAGGCAGTGGACTTGAACTTAAAGCTGATGAAGTGGCGGCTCGCGCCAAACCTTGACCTGGATACGATCAAGAACACCAAGTGCTTGCTGCTGGGCGCTGGTACACTGGGCAGCTATGTCTCGAGAAACCTGCTTGGGTGGGGAGTTCGCAAGATTACATTTATCGATTATGGGAGCGTATCCTTTTCGAATCCAGTACGGCAGCCGCTCTTCAAGTTTGAAGATTGTCACAACGGGGGCAAACCAAAGGCTATCCAAGCTGCCGAGGCTCTCAGAGAAATCTATCCAGGAGTTGACGTAGAGGGATATGCACTCTCTGTCCCAATGTTGGATCATCCGATCCACAACGAGGCAAAGACCAAGGCAGAATTTGATAAGCTGAAGGAGCTGATCGATTCACACGATGCGATTTTCCTCCTTATGGATACGCGCGAGTCCCGATGGCTGCCCACGCTGATGGGCAAAGCCGCGAACAAGATCGTGATGAATGCGGCGCTCGGATTCGACACATACGTTGTTATGCGACATGGTGCAAAGCCGTTGGACGACAGTGAAGATACTCTTGGATGCTACTTCTGTAACGATGTAGTGGTTGCTGCCGATGTAAGTATTGCCCGACCGACTTGCTCACAACGAACTGGGAAAGAAAGCTTACCAATTCTACCAATACAGTCCATGAAAGACCAAACGCTCGATCAGCAATGTACCGTCACCCGTCCCGGCGTGGCAGCAATCGCTTCCGCCCTCCTCGTCGAGCTCCTCACCAGCATCCTCCAGCACCCACTCAAGCAGCACGCGCCCGCGCCCATCTCGGCCGGCACCGGCTCCGCCGTCTCTTACGAGCGCGATCCCCACGACCATCCCCTCGGTCTCGTCCCGCATCAAGTCCGTGGTTTCCTGTCCAACTTCCAGAACATGATCATTCGTGGCAAGTCATACCCTCAGTGCAGTGCCTGCAGCAAACCCGTTCTCGACGCGTACAGGGAGGGCGGATGGGACTTTGTTAAGACGGCGCTGGCTAGCCGCGATTACGTGGCTGAGCTGAGCGGACTGGCTGAGGTGCAGCGGTTGGCGGAGAAGGCGGCTGCGGAGATGCAGTGGAGTGAGGATGAGGAGGGGATGGGTGAGGAGGAAGGCGAGGGAGAGTTGATTTGATCCGGCTTTTTGGATGGGTAGGGCTCTTTCGGGGTGATAGAGTTTGAGTGTGTTGGACCGAGGGAATAGAGAATATCGCAAGAGGTATCAGACCATGTCTGATTCTTGCGCTGGTGGCGGGATTCCGTGACTGTTTTCAGATGGGAAATTACGAGGGGGCCAGTTGCCGAGGAGTCAACTGGGGCTTCAACGCTCGAGGTTGTCGTTTATGTGCATCATGACAAGAAAGAGAAGGGGGTTATAGGTTTGTTTCCTGTTCATCCTTTTGGCGTTTTAGGTGTGTAGTAATTGGGTGTTGTTAGTCCTTTGGCTGTAAATGAGTTGAACCAAACCAGGATCTACCCTTGAACTTTGGTGATTTCAAGTCGTGTTATGATCATTGGCAACCAAGTGCTTGCATGAATGATATGTTTCACATAGAGACAACCTGTTGCAACCCCCACAACCACCATGCTTCCTCACATCACAATATAACGCATGCTGCAAAAAGGAAACGAAATACATTCCTCTCCAAATCTATCAAATCGACGCTGATTAGAGGTGTAGTAGGTACGGTTTCAGACATTACAAGTATTACCCAGCATTGCACTGCTTGGACACTCAATTCATTCCAGAGACATCACGATATCTGAACAGGAGTGCTTGCTTTCAAGAGGGTATCAAATTCCGTCTCAATCCTATTATAGTCCTCCTCCGTCGATGATCTCGACATCTCCAAATGACAAAACAAATGACATGATAAGCTCCCACAACTCCTGCAACAGAACAAAGCAGAGATACAACAACGAAGGCAACGACACAAATTCCAACACCAGTCAGGTAACATCCCCATCTTCCAATGCCATCCATCCAGCCAACCAACCAACATCCCATCATGAGTGAGTCAACACCAGCGCCGAGCGGCACCGACAGCACAACCGGTACCGATACGGAATACGGCAACCACCATCATGGCCAGGCCGACCGACAACCACGGTGCATGTATGAGACCAATGTCGATGAAAGGATTCATAAGCAGAAAGACAGACACAGAGAGAGAGAGAGAGGGTGTAAGTGAAGTTCCCCCCTTGGGAATGGTGATGTGTGGTGTGCGATGGCGTGATACGCTCCCATACGCCCACCATACACTCACCATTCCCCCCTTCTTAACCCTTTGTACTTGTATGTATAGGGCTCCGCATTTGACGACATGGCGTGATGAGAGGGTGAGATGGGACGATGGGATACAGGTACGCAAGTAATTGTACAATCCACTATCCACACTGCCGCCATGAAACCCCGAGTGTCTTGAACTGAGGACAGAAGCACACAGGAATATCGGCCCGTCATTCGCGGCGCTTGTTGAATTGAGTCGTTGGTGTTTTTGTCTTTTGGCGATGACAAAACTCAAAGCTACCTAGGTCGAAGCCGTAGGGCTGTCATGGAAGCTGGAGAGCCCGAAGATTGCCTGGTGGTGGGTGACACTAACACCCAAGATGCCAGGCGAGACGGGAGTGACATGTACTTGTTACGAACATATCTGCCTTGCCCGCCTGGAATATAGGCAGATTGATAGGTAGGCATAATGGACTCCCTTGCTCTTTGAAAGGTGAGTTCAGTGAGAGCTCATGGCCATGTTGTTTGTTTGTTGCCTTGCTGGTGTCTGGTTGGGAATCGCCATTGCCAATGCCGTTGTTGATGTTGTTGTTGCTGTTGCTCTGTTGTGATTGATATGCCCGTAGAGACAGGACTGCGCTTGCTGTTGATAGTTCCTCTATCCGCTGCTTGTCCGCTGTATAAAACAGCTTAAAAATTGCATTGCCCGCCGAAATCCCGCTTAAAAAAACTCAAAGTCCCGTTTCGTATGCGCCAGTGAATAGTGTGATGTCCAACAACAACAACAAAAAAAGAAGACAATCAAAATCTCATCTTAGCGAGAACTGTCCTTGTTGTTCCATCGCCAGTTGGAAGACGACGAGCGGTCGCTGTCCATGGACCGCTTGTGTTGCTCAGGGGACGGCGATCGCTGGAAGTAGCCCGAGAAGACGGACGAGTTGGTGGGCGATGGCAGCGGGCTGAGGCCGGTAGCATGGGGCTCAGGGGAGGTGCTGCCGGTGTGGTCTTGACGCCACGCAGAGAAAATCTCTCTGCAGAGGTGGGCGGACATGGTGTGTGTGGGCGACATCTTGAATGATATTGGGGGTTTATCTGACTCGATTTGTCTTTAAAACCGATGTTGAGGTTGTTGTACTCGAGGTGATTCTCTCGGAGAGGCAGAGGCGTGCTGGCGGGTGTAAGTGGTGAGTGGGGTCTTGGCGGTTGGTTGGAGTATCAAAGCGTTGTTGATGTTGGTTGATGAGACAAACGTCAAGGCTAAACCTTTCAGAGGAGGATGACTGGATAGTACAAATATAGAAGATCAGAGCAGACAAGATCAAGAGGGAAGAAGACGATGAAGCTGGGGGAGAAGCAGCTCTTTAAACGCCAGCCTTGAAAAGAAGCAACCTCACATCTGCGTATTGCTCGTTCCGCTTGACACACAAAAAGTTGACCCTGCAGAAAGCCCATTGGGATCGTTGCCTGTGTGTACTTGGTACGTACCTCGCTATACCTTACCGTAGGCGTTGCCGACCGCTTCTTAACAAGTCGCTTTTCCACTGTACAACTGAACGACAACTGGAACAGGCCAGAACGCAACGGCTCGCTGCACCAACCCAACCAAAGCAATCCCTGAAAATCGACTCACCCGAGCCTCGCCAGCATCCGCTTTCCCCAAGTTTCCGTCAACGATTCTGGCCGCTTGGAGCCGCTTGGGAGCCTGCTGCAAGCCTGCAACTTGCACCCTTTCCACCAATAGAAGATTTTCTATTTCAAAGAAAGTGGCTGAGCGTTGGTCCGTGGCTTGTCATTCTCGTCTGATTGTGCGTCCAGAAGTTCCCGTCCGTCGCAGCTGCAACCACAGAAAAGGGCAGTTGCTGACAAGGGGAAACCTCAAAAACACCAGGGAACCAGCTTCCGCAACACCACTGGCAAACCTCTCTCCCTGGACGGGGTTAGTTACGGAGCCGGGAGCGAGCGAAAGAAAGAACATCGTGCCACTTTGGCGCACTTTGGCGCATTCTGGGTGCAGGTTGGCCTCATTCGCTCTCCATTGGACCCCACACCTCACCGCCATCGACTGCCAATCAACGCCAATCTTGTCTCTTTAAACACACCTTTTTATGAGCGAACCGTGAGCACGTCTTCCGCCGTGCGTGTTGTGACAACCTCCATGGCTTCGCTTGGCTTCTTTTATTCTATTCTACCTTGCCCCTTTCTTCCTTTCAAAGTTTTACATTTTTCCAAAATGAACTAAACAAGCCCAGGCCCTTTCTCTCTGGATGAGGTTTCTGTTGAGTAAAAATAGGTAAAGGTATCCATCAAATAACGGAGCCCGATGACGGCAAAACTACCTCTACTGTATTATGACCATCCTCATTCCTCCTCAGCGGGACCGGATTTCGATTCGAAGCGAAATCTCCCTTATCACGCGAACGGAGCTATCATCATCGTACGTTCTGGAAGTACACATTCCGGAGCGACGATCAGGGAACATATAATTGCGCAAAAGTGCAAATCCCAACTTTGCAACTCCTTTCTTCTTCTTCTTCTTCTCCAATAACCCAACAGCATACCTAGGTATCATGGCAATCCGTGACTCAACAGCGGTGAAAACCTACCTCTATGGTACAACAGCCAAAAGGGGAAAAAGTCAAAATTGTGTTGACAACGAGTTGGCTAGGCGCTCTAACAGTTCTAGGAAGTGAGCCGCCTGACAAAACTGGGCAAAAGCCATGAGATCGCCCTCGTTTCGAAAGGAATATAGTTCGCCCTGTGATCATCCTCCTCAGCTCACCGTGGTAGTATATGGTCTGGAACCATGCAGGTCGATCCCCAAAAAAGGGGTTCCCGCCCACCAAGGCCCTCGTGACTCTTTTCTTCCTTGCCAGGCGTGAAGGGTTAGGGTTGCAAAAAGGGGCTTTTGGATTTGCACAACCTCCGCAGTCAGTCATCGCGGCATGAAGGCGACGTCACGAGACTCAAAACAATCCACATTTGTGTGACTCTTAACTCCCATTTCTCCATAAACTGCCACTAGGTAGTGTGTTTACGGAGTTGAGTCTCACCAACGGAGCGGGCACATCAGTTCATCCCGCCAAGTTGTGGTGAACCAAGGAGACAAAACGACATCTCGCATGAAGATATCTGCCAAAACGGTGCAGCTGGATTGACATGACTTGCTTGCATGGACACGTACTGCCCTTCCCACATAAAGCATAGCTATGCCTACAGTTCCTTTCTAATTTCAAATTAATACATTTAGTATGGCAACCTCGACTCAGACGTATACCCCTTTGGTGTCGGCCTGACGTCCTTAAGCGGATGGAGAAACATAGCCGGCAGACACGGCCTCCCATGACTGCGCTCCCACTCGGCACCCCCGATACCTGTATCTTCATATCCCATCCAGTTATGATACAACCGTGGCGGCGGGACGGCCCGGAAATACCACGTGGCACCCTGGAACCTCCCTTCTCTACCCCATCCCATCGCGCTCCCCAGCCCACCGCTCTGTCCTCGCGGTCCACCGTTGAACCATCGCGCCAGCTGGGTACCGTTCCATGGCCGGTCGAAGAACACGGGCATTGGGGCGTATACGGCCTTGAGTCCGTGGATCAAAGCCGTGGTCGGGGCTACCATTTCGGAGCCGACGTGGTTCCCCTTGAGATTCTCGGCGTTGCAGTCACATCGACCAGCTTCCTCGACAATCGCGCTTGCGTGATGATGGTCGCCCTGCGAGGGAGATCTTTGCCTGAGAAGGCGTCGGATGGGTAACCCCACACTTGATCGCGCAGAACCCAGTTGCTGTCTATAGGGTTGAACATGGGCGACAGGGTGATGAGATCGGCTTCCTCGCCGACACCCCACTCATATCGGTCCAGCTCTGGTGTTGAAACGAGTGGTTTTGTCCCGATTGGGTTGACGACGGGTAATTTAGGGGCACCCCATACCGAATCCTGACCAGCCGCATCTTCAACGGTCTTTCGAAATTCCGTGTTGTAATCACCATGGTAAGAGGGGATATAAAATTGGCCGTTCCGTTCCCAAAGGCCCTTCCTCGGTTGCTTCCTGCTAAAGTCCTCAAGTTTAGCCAAAAAGTCGTAATGATGACCGGTCAGACGACTATCCACCTCCCAGTTCCAGACGTAGTCGAACTCTCGGAACTTCTGCATGAATACTTGGACAGACAAAAACTGTGCGTTGTGGACTCGGATGGCCTCCTTGCTCAGTTTCGGGTACACCAACTTCATCGAAGCCTCATCCCAGAGTACCGTCATCCCTCGGAATTCGACAGGAACGGCGGTGTCCAAGATTTCTTCATAGACTTCGTCGTCCGACCAGATGTCGCGGTCCTCCTTGACATGGACGAAAAGAAAGACCTGATATTGGCCTCCGGTTCGCAAGCTCAGCTCCGTTACCATGGATCTGATGACTTGCTTGTCGTTCTCCGTGTATTTCTTCCCGGTGTAAGAGCGCAGAAGGACTGCGCTTTTGGCTCCGTTACCGTCGCGTCAGTTCTACCCGTCATGTTGGTAGGCGATCCATACTGCTTTACCGGATCCCACCATCGTTTCGCGTTCTTCGCGATCACATCTGCAGCTCCGTCTGCCTTGTGCTCTCTTTCTGTCACCACGTGGAACCCGCTGTCACTGTCGGAGAAGCTTTTGGAAGGATATTCCGTCGCAAACCGTCCCTTGTTCTTGTCTAGGCACTGCAACTGCAGCTCTCCCCAGTCCACGTTATCCCAATCAACAGGCTGCCCATTCTTATCCTCCACGGGTGCCACTCCGTACGGGCCTAGCCTGGTCTCTCGCTCAAAGCAAAGATTCTTGTCGATTCCTAAAAGCTCGTAGCTGCCGAAACCAGGTTGGGGAAACTTGGCTGGATGGCCTTTGAATACCTGGATATCCTCCACCTCTTTCCCTGTTGGACCCAAGCATGATGTATATGCAGAGTGTGACGCCTTCCAGGCTCGACTGTTGTACTGTGGATATGGGTTGAAGATGTACGGCTTGTCGAGACTGTAGGGCACTTTGCTGCGTGTTCTGGCGAGGGCTTTCTTTTGTTGAGTCGTCCACTTTTCTTTATCGACGAGTGTCTCGAGGGTATTTCCATAGATTGCGCCCGCGTCAGGATTACTATATCGACCAAAAATCGTCAGTCACTGGACTCAATTGGATGCTTCTTCAAGGCCACGGCTTACTCCAGCAGCTCCCTGCTCTCCTCCTCGAACTCTTCCTGCGTTGGTACTTCTTGGTGATTATCGGCCTCGGCGTCGGAGTGCATCACCTCATGGACCTGTGTAGTCGTTGCGCCATCCGTGGCCGTCGGCGGTTTGGTGAAGTCGGTCGCATCCGTGAGTTGTATCGACTTGTATCGCTGGCTCCTGAGAAGAAAACTCGCCGTGACGAGTATGACGAGTATGATAGAAACAAGAACGAGGGGCTGGCCCAGCGCCCGGTGACGCCGGAGCCGGACTATCATGGTTGGAGAAAAAAAACGAGTGTGAGGTTTGAATGGTCGTGGGCACTCCAGGTGCCTGGGTTTCGCAAGCGCGCAAAGAAGGCGACGAGCGCCTGACCGTATCAAACAGTCCCGCCTAGTACCACTTGAAGAATCTAACCAGAGAAAGACTGTGATTTGGTCGTGGTCGAAATCATGATCAAGAAAGCTAGCGGGGAGTGAAGTCAAACGCTCACTTGAAGAGTAAGGGAGGGGCAAGACAAGTTTCTTCGTGGCCCGCAGGTCGTGGGTCGCAGGTCGAAGGTCGAAGAACTCGAAGGGATGCGGGCCGACAATCTCGATAGATCCTGGAATCCAAACCACGACACTATCAAATGTCTGGGTACTGTGATCGGCAGCTTGCAAGCGATGGCCCTGCGAGACATCAAGGACAGCAAGCAGGTAGCACGATGAAACACGCAACGCCCTTGTCAGTGCTCCTTCGTTTCTTCCCCCTTCACTTGCGTGGGAGGAAGGAAACCCGAAATTCGGCCGTATCCACGTGTTACGGCTCCCCACCGGTCCAGACCTGGACTCAGAAATGATGGGATGAAATTGGAAGGTGCGATTTGTTTGTGACTTCAAACTCGAAACATCCTTTAGTTGGGCGAGGATAGCACCTACCCGCGCTTTCGAGGCTGGGGCCTTAAGAGATTGTGGATGCCATGGGCCTCCCGTCAAATTTCATACAGCGGAATACTTTGTGGAAGAAGTGGCCTTCCGTAATGCCGGCTTTCAAGACATGATGAGTCTGGATGTTCCCAGGGGCGTGTTACGAAGACTCCAGATATTATATGTAAGAGCCCGTCTCAAACTGGGAGATTCGACACCTGCCGGCTGGGAGCCACTACTACACGTGTCTGAAAATAACGAGTACTAAGCGTTCATTTCTAACATCGTACCGTCCCGTAACTGTGGAAATTCCTACTGGATAATAAAGTGTCTTCACAAGCTTCGTTATGGCTACCTACCTCTTGCTGATTCCCTGGACTCTATTGTAACCTAGGCTGAGGGTTACACCAGCATATTGAACGGATACGTACCGAGCCGTTTTCCGGATGTGAACAAACAACTTACATAATTTGCTTCCCTAGCAGAGAAGACTAAGTGGTTGCATTTGCAACAGAGATATGAGTATGGCACCGATCGAGGGCAAAAGTCTTTCGTCTTCAACATCTCAGGACTGTATCCAGAATCAAACCCCAACGACCGATATATCCCCTGTTAAACAACAGCCAATACAACCACATGTCCACACACACCTTCCAACCTTTGGAATGTAGATGGCCCCATGCATGCGACCTGGATGAAGATCCCCTAGATCTACCAACCCAAGAGTCCGGGTACCCCTGACGACCGTTTGGTTTCACAATTCTCAAGCGAACGTCACACACTCAGTCACATACTTCCGCTATCTCGAGGAGCTCTAAGCAAAAGTACGGCCAAAAGACCAACTGCCGAGACCAGCGCAGGGACAGCTCGGTAGTACTCGCCCACAAATGTGTGCCACAATGATGTTTTGAAGCACATGATGGTAGGACACAAGATAGGCTGTAGTTGAATTCAACAGCTGTGACGCATTGCGTGTTGCAGCGTGTATATTTGCACTCTCTATCTTCTTCTCTCCTCCTTCAGATTCTTTGCCCCTTCTGCAATCTGGCGCTGCAACCTCCCGGTTGTACTACTACTGCCTGGCCCTTGATGTGTCACAGTAGGATCTCCAGCTCGCCCTCGTGCTTCCTTTCCCAGCAACACCTGAAGCTCAATTCCCTCTTCCTATTCTCCTCCCCAGCCTGTTCTGAACCTCCATCTGCTCCCACCTACCCAGGAGTAAGTAGAGTTGGTGATCGGGGGTGTCTGTTTCTTGTACATTGTGAGATTATCATCAGAAATTACATGTTATGTGTTTTTTGATACAAAGGGAAGGAGAGAAAGGAGGCTGTAGATAAAGCCAAACTAGTTGGTGGGTATCAGAAATTAACCAAGAAAGTAAGTAAAGTTTCGCGTCCAACCCAGTCTATGGGTCGCGCATATCCAAAAGAGGTATCTCTGGCACGCAAAACGCGAGTACCCGTGCATATTCCGTAAGGGGGAGAGAGGCCGAGACAATATTTCAGTCAAGAGAGCCGGCCCCCTCCCTCCCTCTCATAAGGGAGGAAGGAATATGTAAAGCCCTCGCGAGAACTATCAATCAGCTCTCGAGAGTACTGAAGCTGAAGCAGCTCACATCATGCCAAGTCTAGTCATACGCTTCTCCATGCGAGGCATGCCCGGCGGCGGCAGTCCATGCGCGCCCGGACCCATCCCCATGGGGCCCATGGGGCCCATGCCGGGGCGGCCCATACCACCCATACCAGGACCCATAGGCCCGGTCCGTGGTGGCCCGGCTGCTCCAGGAGGTCCGAACCGCGGTCCAGGCGGAGGAGGCTTCCGACCCGGACCTCCGCCATTATTAGCGAGCCACTGCACCCTCCTCCAAGCATCCTTTTCGCAGTAAGCTTTCCCATGAACCTCGAAATAGCCGTCCTTCAGCACGAGCTTGCAATCGCCACAACGGAAACAGCCGATGTGGTGCTTCCTGCGCCGTTCATCCTCGAGGTATTGGCCTTCGATGCCATTGTCGCAACTACCGCAGAGACTCCCGTTCAGCTCGTGGTAATGGCGCTCACAGTACGGTCGGTCCTGATGGACGTAAAAGGTTGCGGAGGAGAAGGGCTGGTGGCAGTTGAAGCATACGAAGCAGGCCTTGTGGTAGCGTCCTGTCAAACGGCCATCTGCGCTGGAAATGGATTTGCCCGTGATGGGCAGATTGCAGCCTTTGCAGTCGCCACGAGATGAGGTAGTCACAGGAGGCTGCCGAGGCTGCGAGGGCGCCCGCTCCCGGTCTTGGTCTAGCTTCGCAGTTCGATCGATGCTCCGACGCGGCCGTTCGTCCTGCCCTGGAGCCCGTGGGCTCGTTTGCGTCTTCGGTTCTTGTTGCTCCTCATTGGGCTTCGCAGATGGCGGCTCTGCGGGCTGCGATGACTGAGAAGGCTGTCGCTCCTTAGTCTGTGTTTTAATTTGAGGCTCGTTTCGCTCCTCTGCCGGAGACGCAGGAGATTCTGGCTGTGACGGCTCTTCTTCTTGTTGTTGTTCCTCCGGTGCGGACAGGGACTGGCTACTGCTCCGCTCTGTTGGGCGCTGAGAGGATTGAGAAGGGGGGCGTTCTTGTTGACTATTCGCCGTGGCGGTTGAGGACCGATCCCTTCTCTCAATTGTTGCCGAAGCCAGCAGCGGAGATGCAGATGGTGCGGGCTGTGTGGACACTCCGCGATCAAATTGGCGATTCATTGGGTCGTCGAGACCTGAAAGATCGAGAGCAGGTGAAGCTAAGGGCGACTTATTCCGCTGCAAGCGCGGGTCAATTCGTGGATCATATCCACCGTCTGGAGGTGGTGGCCTTTTGCTAAGGGGTGGTGGTCTCAGCTTCCGGAGGGCTTGAGGGATACCACCATCATAAGGGACTGATTGCGTGGACGGCGTCCGCGTCAGTTTACCTCCATCCTCGTCTGCGACAGACTGCAGGTCTGTCACAGAGCTGTCAAGTGTCGGCGTGTCCGATCCTTTCCTCCCACTAGATGCCACGGATCGGGGTGGACTGGTCCTCGAGCTAGCCTGACTTGCCTGACTTGGCCGGCGCTCCATGGTATTACCTTGGCTTGAACCCTGTGAGGAAGCCTGGCTTGACCCGTTGGACGAAACGGATTCGGATGGTTGATGATACGGGTTTCCGACTCCGAATTCCTCCGCGAGATTGATGGCTGGTACCGCTGGGGCTCCATCTGGCCCAGTAGTTCTCGCCCGAACGAGGCCGGTTCGCGGCGGCGGGGGACGGGATGTATCCGGGCCCCTACTCGGCCTTCTCATTCGATCATTGGTCATTGGAATTGGACCTGGCATCGCGCCTGGCCTCGGGCCTAACATCGTACCTGACATTGGACCTGGCACCGGACCTGGCATCGGGCCTCTTCCAGCATCTCTAGCTGCTTCGGACGGTCGTCGGGGCCGTTCGGGACGGAATCCAGGTGCGGATGGTGTCCGGTGAGGTGGCTCTGGAGTTTGGTTTGGCCGGGGAAAGGTTTCGGCGCGATTCAGCATGGTGAGGGCGTCGTCGGGCTTCAGGTCTTGTTGGACAGGTCCTGGTGGCGGAGGTCCCGTGGGAGGAGGTCCCGAAGGAGAGAGCCCATTTGGCGGCGGCCCCCGTGGGAGAGGGCCAAATCCTTCCGGCCCGTTCCCTCTCATTGGCGTTAGCGGATTCCCGGGTCCAGCAGAAATGTTTGATGCCGATGTCCCTGGCCGTTCAATGGGGGTGGTAGGCCGCAGATCTGCCATGTTGCCTGCTGGTGTATTTGGTCGCAAATTTGTCATGCTACGCGCTGGTGTGTTCGGTGCTAGGTCTGTCATGCTCCGCGCTGGCGTATTTGGTCTTAGATCTGTCATGCTGCGTGCTGGTGTGTTTGGCCGCAAGTCCGTCATGCTGCGACCCAACGGCGTAGTCGGACGGAAATCAGAGACACTGCGCCCACTCGCCGACGGCCGTCGATCCGTATCGAATGGCCCAGGGGTCATGCTGTTCATACGTTGTAGCAAGTTTGGGGCTCGGTCCTTCTCGTTACCCGTCGCGAAGGTGCTGGGCCGGCGCATCGGTTGTGAATCATCACCGAGACCAGGTCGTGCGTTTTGGGTCTTTGGCGATAGACTGATCGATCCGCGAGTGTCTTGGGACGGGCCTGTGGATAGTCGGTCTGAGAGGCATGAATCGTCAGTTATGGGAATCTGAGCCACATCAAAAAGGATGGAACCTACCACCGACAGAAGTGTCCACTTGCGGCGCCGGAGGCTGCTCTGCAGACAAGGCGCTAAAAGGGTTCAGTCGACCAAACAATGATGTTGCTGGCGCTGGCGGAGCTGTTGAGGCAGGTTCGTCTGCTGATGATGGGTCTGCCTTCTCGTCTGTGTCTGAACTTCCGGCGCAAACATGCTCGCCCATCATAGAGATTGGAACTTGGCAGCCACATGACGAGCATTTTACTGTCGGCATGAAGCTTTCCGAAGCCATTCTTGCCTTCTTTGGCTTGAAGCCGCTTCACTTAACAGGTTGAAAAGATTGAATCGGAAGGAACCACCATGCAGGTCCCCGGATTAGCTAGGAGAAGTTGGAAGGGGCGAAGCGAATGACGAAAGCCAATGTTGTGGTAACGGGTGCTTTATTCCGCATATGCTTCTTCATCCAAGCAGAACGCCTTCCTATTACCATTCACCACCTATGCCAGACGTATCACTCCAAGTCCCCGAGATATGTCCAACTCAGTGCCTACTTGTAAAGCAGGCGAGGCCCCAGGCGACCGAAGCGTTACGTCAAGTGGGTTGCTAGGTACTCGTTTAGGCGGTCGAGCAACAAAGATTGATATGTTCGCGGGCGGTAGGATATTAAAGAACGAACACCAAGTGGTCTTTGGGCCCTGGATCTGCTCAGTTGCAGGTGGATGTTGGATTCGGCTTTGATCGAAGACAGAAGTCGAAGGAATGCGCGCCACGAGCCGGAGTCGAGGCTTCCCGTCGAGTGAGGAGGAACGCGGCTAAGCACCACGAGGCTGTCGGTGGGCTAGACGACAGCGAAGCAGAAATGCGGGGAAGACGACACAACGGTGTCTCGGTGCGTCTCGATTATGGAATGTTGTCGGAATCGGGAAGAATTGTATGAACAGCGAGGAAGCGTTGAAGAAGGACGATCAGGTCGGTGAGGGTGAAGGTGGACGACCTACCCCGGCAACCCTTGGATGCGACCCTTGAACGCCCCTAGCTGCCAGTGCGGTAGGCTAGCCAACCCCAGCAAAAGTCCCTGGTCAAGTGGCACCCTTCGCGCGCCCCCCTAGTTCTCCGGTCTCCCACCTCTTTGAAGGGCGTGAGGCAGGTGAGGGTGTCCTCAATGTTACAGCGCCGCAACAGTTGACGTTGACGCGAGGTATTGGGGGGCGTTCTGGGCGTCAAGGGGAGGTCGATGACAAAGGGCCAGGTTGAGGCGGGCGTCAGGGGCACGTTGTTTGCCTCGAGTGACGCTGGGAAAGACAATGGCTATCGACGGTAGGCGAGAAGCTGGGGATGGATGAGATCACGATCAAAGGCGTGTCCTGTCCCAAAAGAGCGTGTGCGAAGAGGCGTGGGAGGCGTGAAAGAGGCGTGCCTGGCGACCCCTGCCCCTGAAAGATCCAAGATAGGTTAGGTATATTGGCGCTGCCGTCCGTCTTGGTGTGTTGGTCTGCTGCAGAACTGAAGCGTCAGAAACCCCAGGAGTCCAAGACCTAGAAGCCGGCCAAAAAAGGAAGCCAGAGAAGACGAAGAAATTCTAGCGAGAGACTCTGTCTAACGTTCTACGCCAAACTAAAGGAGTGACGCCGGTATTCTCGGGATGGAAACAATTTCAGAGATGAGATAAGGTGAGGTCGTTAAAGGGCTGAAAAGGCGTCTCCATCCAGGGCCACTTTGGTGAAGCGAAGTGGTTGATGATGTTGCGACGGCGATCGAAGAGGCAAGGCCGCACTTGTTCACCTTCGACTTCAGCAGCAAGCCTACAGTATAAAACGGTTACATCTATTTAATGTTGTGTCGCATTCGTCAACGTTGGCATTATCCCATCCCTTTCATTTGCCTTCCATCAATTAGCAACACCACGCGCACCAAAGAGAATGGAAGGTTGCAACATACAAAGTAGGTAGCGTACCAACAATGAGTGAAGCTCATTTGCAGTGTGTTGTACCCGACCAAAGCAACATCATCTCCCTCGCGCCATTCCGTCCGCAATTAATCGCCGGTCCACGCAGAGAGAATAAAGATTCCATTGATTGTCCATTTGTCGATTCCTCATTATTGACCTCTCCACTTGGTCACCTCCCAGCCGGCCAGCCCGTTCTTGCCCTGGCGTAAGTCTCGCTGTAGCGTACCTGTTTCGCTGGAGAGTCGCTCATGAAGTCGAATTGGCAGGCAAGCGCCACTTCTCCACACATCTAGGAACGGGTGGAGCCGTTGGATGGTCCTCGCTCGCCGACTGGCTGATTGCTGGACACCCTCCTGGCCTAAACTGGCTGCTCAGGGCCCTGTACCTGGGCGTGCTTGCCCGTACCTTGCAGCGGTTCGGCTCATCCTCCAGAAACATAAAAAAGCATACCCACCAGCAACCTCTGATCATCATGCAATCGGCACGAGAAACATCTAAATCGGATTTGATGAAACCGGCGCGCCAACCATCATCATATCCCACCGTCAATTCATCACAACCTTCGATGCGCATGACCTCCCTCATGGTTCATCATGCCCCTGGGACTGGGATCGCCTCCCCGCATGACATGGAAGCCGTGAAGGTGGACGGACGGCTGAGGTGATATCAAGAACCATCCATTCAGCATCACATCGCAGCCAGCAAGGCTGGAAACTGTACATCACAGTACGACCTCGCCAGCGGTTAAATAAGGTATCTGCAAGCGAACTACTGTCAACATGATACACCAAGACCAAGGTTGATATCGGACGGTGCTTTGACTCTTCAAGTGAGGCCTCTTTCAAGTAGTATACCCGACACTGTCTATATCAAAATCTCTTCTGAGACGAGGCCATCATTCCCGTGGTACATAATTGGCCAGCCACTCTTTGATCGCAGACGTCTCATTCCTATCATGTGATTTCGGAATGTCCCTTTTGGGACTGATTGGTCTTCCTTTGGGAAGACGTCTCTTCAGGGGGGTGTTGGCTGTTGCAATTTGCAAGGCTCAAACAGTCAGTACATATGACTAACCCTTTCCAATGTGGTTGAATGGCTTGCCTTCTTTGAGGAAAAGAGACTGAAGCGCCTTCCGAGGCGGCCAATCATGCTCTGCCGTGAACTTCAAGGATCGCATAACCGCCATCATCAAGTGTCTGTCAAAGACGTTGGATGTGGAAGATTTTAACCAGCCAACTTGTCATCCTTAGTTTCCTACCGCCGAGCTTACCACCATGGCGTCGAACTTTGTGGATTGATTTCCCCAAACAATGCCTCATACCCTCCTCCCCTTTCACGAGGCACATTGTTTCAAACCTCTCGGCAGTCTTGCCTTAACCCGCCCAGTCGGCTTCATACTCGCCGAGTACATGTAAGAGGGCAAGGAGCTGAGAGGTCAACCTTTGACTCGATGCAATCGGCCGCTCACTACGTATATGTTGAGGATGGGGGGGAGGGTGTTACAGTTACCGTGGGAGCCTCCGCGTGGGATGTTGAAGCGAACGGATGTGTCCGAATCTGGCCCTTCCCGCCAAGCCGCTCCGTGGCCTGTCAACTCACCTGCCCGTCAACATCTGCATGTCAACCCCCATGGTGGTTCCGCGAATGGTGTGCGGTGGTCGAAGATCCGGGCCGCCTCACCTACACCATTCGGTTTCGAGAAGATTATCATTGGCGATTTCTTCATGTCAGTCAACGGATTTGACTCACTTACTTCGTCATCTGGTTTAACCTACAGTATTTACCTTTTTCTCTACGTGTTATTGTTTTTGCTTCTTTCCTCTTCCCTTCTCTCCTCTTCTCTTCGTCTCTCTGTCTTCGCCTTCTGCAACACCACAAATGCGAGACCTCTTGACTCCGGTTACGGAAATGCCGGTATTCCCAAGTTGCATGAATGTCCTTCCCAATCGGAAACTATCAGACCAGAGCTTCTGTCTATGTTAATACGTCACCACTATGAAGGGCAACCAAATCTCCAATAAGCTTCAAGTTGGTCTAGAACGATGACTTAGTCTTGCGCTGTGTAACGGCGTTATAGCCGTTCGTTGGCTATATCTGCTGTCTGGGCAACTGTAGTCGAGCAATACACCTGGAACGAAAAGGGTCTGAAACCCGCCATCTCAGTTCTTGCGGTAAGTTATGTATGTCTGTCTTGTCGAACTCGAGTCTTGTCAATCTGCTTCTTTTTGGCAATACCGTGTTGTACACAGGACAGGGAAAGGTCAACCTCGAGTCCAGACCGCCCGGGCGGTCAAGACCTTCCGATGTCAAGACACGCTCCGATTTCCATAGCCCGAGGCATTGCACCCAAGACACGCCACAGTCGGGCTTTGTGTTACTCAAAACACGTTTCCAGGTGAAAGGTGGAAAAAAAAAAGGTTGAGGTTATGCCGTCTTTTCCGTGTAACGAAACTGGACCCTTGATCTTCGGTAGTACATTTCCTAATGTGTGTGCGAGTGCGTCGTGTCCGGGTGCTCTCCGTTCGGCAGTGATGAGGCTTTCAAAATCCCACCAAGTTGGCTCTTCGTTGCGTAACATGCATTCGTATTTCGGCGACAGATAGTAACTAAGAATGACTTAGCTCGATGGCGAATGTCACTTTCTAGTAACAGATGCCGTAAAAGAAAGGCTCTCAATTCGCTAGCAAATATCAAAATGTTCCTTCGGGACTTCGGGGGAATCACTCAGTGGAAGCATTTCGAATAAACCAAAAAATCTCACTACCCCTTAAACTGGCAGGAGGGAAAATAGGATAGGATGCATATGGAACCCGAAAGTAACCTTCATCATGCAGGCGGATGGGACATTTGGGGTTACCTATCAGTTCGAAAAGGTGTTCGTTCCCAATAGGGACCGTCCGTTGCCGTCATGATGCAACTTTGCGCTGTCAAATGGAAGCTGCATGCGTGGGTAGGACGGGACTCGAGCAGAAAGAAGGAAAGAAAAATAATAATCAGATTCTGATAGCTTTGTCGGGTGTTCCACAATGCCATTCGATGCCGAGTCTTTCCTTTGCGGTGATGGTGTAGTATTTTGCGCCGGCCAAAGGAGCAGAGCCCTATCGTGATTACAGCAACCGTATCAAGTTGCATTCTGGGCTTGAGCTGATAATTCGTATATGCTTGAGCCCAGCTGAAGCAGCTATAATTCTTGTTCGCCATGGTACGACCGTGGGGGTTTGTTGACAACGAGCTCGCTTCTAGCCTTTCTTTCTCTGGTTCTGTGCCCTCTGCTT